TGAATGCATACACGTGTATATGTCTGTATGATGTGTATGCATGCACATATGCATATGATGTATGCATGCACGCATTATTATTTTATTTTTTATTTTTTATTTTTTATTTTTTGGTGCCTGTGGAGAGAGAGCAGGGAGGGAGAAAGGGGATGGTATAACCTTGAGCAGGAGAATGTTAAATTTCACCAACCTTCCTTTACAAACTCTTTTGCTATGAGCTAATTAGAGCTTCTGTTTGCTGTTTGATTTTTTTTTAAAATAAATAAATAAATATATTTTTAGCATGTTGAGGGACCAGCATAAATTATTACATAGATCAGTACTTGAGATGAAGACAGAAAAAATTCACTCTTTTCTTGATGGTTTATTTTTTGATAAATATATTAGCCACTGATGTAAGATTATCTGTATCTCTATTTAATCAAACATCCTTATCAAGTGATGTAACATAGCTGTGTCTATCCCTTTCTACCTATATCTAAAAATTTAGCAATTTCATCACTTGTATGGCTTGTATTCCTAGTATCTGAGACATAACCCTGTTGAATATTTATTGCGATATTGCTGACACCATTTGAGATATTTTCAGGATACATAAAAGCTGGAGTTTTTGCCATTGCAGTGCTAGAAGGATTGGACTGGAAATAGACCTGACCCACGTCATTATTTTACACCAGATGGTAGCTCTTAGACTTGCTTTATCATTATTGATACCTGGAGTTTTTGCTATTACACCAAGCAATGGCTCCACATCCAGGGGGCTACTTGGCCCTTGTGAAAGATCAGTTGGGTCAAGTGTCCACCTTGGGCAAGCCAGTTTATGAGGCCATCCTCATCACAGAGTTGGGAGATCTTTTGATTTGGGATAGTAAGCAAGAAGCTCAAGACCTCATTTGTGATCTTCTTCTGTGAAACTATAATGTACTTCTGCTGGCTAGAGGATAAATACCTCCACTATAGTCTTTTGAACTTCTTCTGAAACATGGGGAAGCAAGCGGGATAATAGTTCCTGTTGCTTCCATCCTTTAAAAATCCTATGCCCAAGTATCGACTTTCTGCTTTTCATCTTTCGGCAGTCCAACCATCTTTGATGTCCATCAAACCCATAAAATTTCCCATACTAGAAAGCTAGAATTTTCCCCATCTCTTTGACCTCCATGAATGTCTTCACCTGAGCAAAATTCTTCCCAAAAATATACAAACCAAGGAGAAAACTATCCAGTTGAATTCCACTCTCCATGTCACCTAACAAGCCAAGAACTAAACAGCAGCTTTTGTTTCTATACATCTGATCCTAGTTATCTTTTCCTAGCATTGCAGGTTCAGAGCTTGGCGATTTTAGTTTCTCTTTATTTTCCAATCTGAGATTCGAGGATTCAACTTTAATTTCTAAATCTCTCTTATTTGAACTAATTTGGCTCATTGCACTGGTTTTAGATCCCAATGCCTCAGTTGGATTAACTGAATCATTATTAGATCCTACCCCACTTTTATGATTATCTACTTCATCGTCAATCCACATGACAGGAACAGGTAATCCCATCAGAAAAGAATGGGAAACACCACTGACTTCCATTTCTGTCGGGTTCTTTAAAAGCTGAAGACGCTCATTTTGTAATCATGGGCGAAATTTCCGCCTGGTACTCGAGCGAGCACCTGTGACTCTCCAAAAATATCACTTATATCAAGAGAATCATGAAGAAGTAATTGCTCAGAGAACATTTCTTCAATGCACTTGCCGTCGTGATTAAGTTGAACTGAGTCCATCTCCATGAAAGAGCTTCTTTACAATGAAGGTGAAAAAAGGATTTTTTAGTCCTTTATATTCTTGAATCTACAAAAATTTGTTATTTGGATAAAATTCATCTCTTTTGAAGGTGAATACAAAACTAAAATTATTTTGAACTATTTCAAAATCTACTAAAATGTAAAATGGTATAAATGCATATAAGGTTCATATGTAATCAGGTTGTCAAGAGGAAAATAATTGTCATCCATGTCATTAGGCATTTGGCTCAACTTGAATGATGAAGCATTTGACAAATGAAAATGGGATTTCTCCTTTTCTTTTCTTTTATTTTAAGAATGTGTTATTTGCTTCTTCAGGCACATCAGTCATATATAGTAAACGCATACGTATATACATCAATGCATAAACTCTGTCAGATTCTTAACTTGGAACACTTTTTTGAAGTTCGGTCAATGTTGATTATTGTAGCTTCTGTTATTTTACTTTTCTGCACTAGTTATCTCATTATATATGTTGCTCACAAACACATACAGCAAATTTTATTTTTTTTATAAGTAAAAATAAAAAAAAATAAAATAAAATGCAGGAAGGCATTTTATATGAGGAAGTAGTTCATATATAAGTATTAGAGACCATTAGTTGGGGATACGATTTTCAACTGTGATAAATGGTTGTCTTTTCTCTCCTGTTCTTAAATTCTTCACTGTCACTCCTAGCTATGATAGATGTGTTACTTATTGTTGCTGACATCATTGAGAGATCATTTTATCTGTCATGTTTATGATATATATATATATATATATATATATATATATATATATATATATATAATGTTATTTTAAAGAAGATATTTTAACTTTTTGTGGGGCCCATTATTATAAAACAATTTTTATGGCCTAAAGGCCATTATACCATCACCAATTTCTATCTCTCGTCAGAAACTCTCCCTCCCTGAATTTCCTTCTTTTTTCTTTTTCTTTTACCTTAAATTCAAGGCTTGATCTAGCCTTACCCTTTGTGAAATTGATAGTACCTCTTAAGGCAATGTTGGAGAGCTCGTTGAGGCCGTTATTTTGATCGGAGCAAAGTTCAATTTGGTCACCCTTTGGATTTTGAATTTTTGGACATAAATTGGGGATTTTTGTCTCATTTGAGGTAAGGGTATTCTAATTCACAATTTCTTTGATTCTTTGTGAATTTTCCCTTCCAAAGTTGGTTATAAACATGCTTAGTTTTAGTTATTTTGAATATGGTAATTGTATTTAGTTGTGTTCATGATGATAAGTGATATAGTGTGTTAATTGAGCCTATGAACTTAATTAATTTGTTGTGATGAAAAGCATGCTCAATTATAACAAGTTGTGTGTAAAATGTTTGCCAATTGCTATGTAAAATTGGAATTATTAGTTGTGGAAATAAATGTTTAGAATTTCTTCTCAAAATGTGAATATGACGTTGATGGAATGTGTGAAATTTAATTGTTGGCCGGATTTGTGAATTGAAAGTATGTAAAATGCCATGATTTGGAAATATGAGAATGTGATATTGTGTGGAAATTCATGTTTTAACTATGCTTAAATGATGTGGATGATATGTATGACATTTCTCTATTGTCATGGCATTGAAATTTTTTTGCATAATTCATGCATTGCCATTGGGAAAGTAAAGGGAAAAATTTGTTTTAAAAACAAATGAAATTGTTTTTGGGAAAAGTTTTTGAAAAGTGTTTGTGAAAACCGGACGCCTAGGAGGCGCCTAGTGATCCGTGGTGTTAGTGTGGTCTAGAGGGGAGCTAGAGAGAGACTTCGGTGTGGTTGAGCTACCTAGGCCCAGACGAGGCCATGGAGGTGCCATGTGGTCAGGGAAAGCTAGCCAACCCTCCCTTCGTGACGCCTCGGAGGTGCCTTGGGTCGGATCGCACTAACGGTTTGGAAGTTGAAACGGCATTGTTTCAGAAGTGAGAAGCGACATTGCATGGCGTGGCATTGCATTAGCATACATTGTATATTTGGTGGTTATACGACTTGCGTATGTATTTGTTGATTATTATCATTACTTTACTTGTTTTCCCTGAGGCATGATCCCATTTACTTCTACTCTATTCCTTATGTGGATTTACGGGGTCATAAGAGGTGCGTCTTAAACACTTCCTACTGAGCTTTATGCTCACCCCATCATTTTAACATTTTTCAGGTCACGAGAAGAAAGTGGCGGATGACGTTCCTCTACAGGTTTTGATGGGTTAGTGGGCTGTTTTGACATATTTTGTAGTTATGATCTCATTTTATTATTATTATTATTATTATTATTATTTTTTATAAACCTTGGGATGACACGTATATAATGTATTGACATACGAAAGGACGGTAACGTCTTTAGTTGACCTCGGGTTCGGGTAAGGACCCAGTTAGCGATTCGGACCCTCGGGTTCGAGTCGTTACATTATCCATACTGGATTTATTGGGAATTCAATTCCGTATTTTTTCTTCATCCTCTCTAGCAACATCAATTAATCTCATTATCACTTTGTCTACTTCCTGGTTGAGATTGATTCATCAATGTGGCCAGCTTTAAAGCCATAGAATGTTATGTTTGAAATGGTTTCGTAAGTCAAGATGACCATACAGATAGACATTGTACACATAGCTATGTATGTATGTATGTTTGACCTTGGTTTGACAGGATTAACATTGTACATTTATTAATGATTTATCATTACTTTTTACCACTTACGCTAATAGTTTGGTGTTGGCCATTATGTATGGATCATTGTCAGGTAACTGCCTCTATTTATACCAACGTATATGGGAGTTTGAAATATTTTTTGGACTTTTTAATTTGTATTTCTTGCCGGTATTTAGGAAAGAGTCATCCTTGGACTATGATGTGTTTCCCAAGCATGAATTATTGTTATTTTTGTTAATGTCAGATTACTGGAATACTTCTTTTGTTGATTTAGGATCTATATGCAATGACACTTGATATTCATGGCATTTTTGCTGGTGTTTGGAGTCCTGGACTTTGTTTGACCATTTCGTGTTTCTGCTGGCTGTTCTTGAAGTGCAGGTTATGTTTTCTTGTTAGAGGGACTTTGGCGGTTTGCCTTATGAAGGCTATTGCCCAATGTGGTCATCATCAATCAAAAGTAAGGTGCTGGAATGGATAGATTGGATGTAGACTTCATTTTCAGATTCTTTTTTCACTAAGTAGTCATGGTTGAACCTGCATGTCCATGCTTGACAGACCAAGCTTTCTGTTGCTATAAAAACGTTGAAGTTTATAAATGATAAAATATTACTAAGGATAATAATTGTGGCAAAATCTCACTTCACGCGAAGAAATTAATCATCTCTCTTTCACGCACACATCAAGAAGTCAAAGTAAAAGAACCAGCCATTCTGTAGAAGTCTGATTTCACATCTGGCCATGCTGTTTCTGGGGCCTGTGCATTTAAAGTAAAGAGCCGCCCACGACGAGCACAACAAACAGCCACATTATGTCTCCTAAATGAGGAGCTTTCAACTCTAAATTCCAGCTCATAGTATTTGATACTCCTCATTGAATCCTCTCTCAAAGTTGATTTTATCAGGGTACCTTTCACATCAGGCAGCCGGCTCAATCCTGTAATTGTCTGAACCACAGCTTCTCCTACTTCCTTCGGCCCGCCAAATGCTTCAATTCTATAAAGAAACACAAAAACATAAGCTCTACATTCACATAAACTTAGAGAGAGTATAAGAAATACTTTTCAACTGGTCATGACTAGGGGACTCACCTCATCTAATGGATGAGGTAAACTGTCAATAGCACCATTGTCTATGAATATAGGACTTATTATACTTTATTATTATTGCCATTAAACCAAGTATGACATGTTTAGTCATTGTCCAGGAATTTACAAAATCTTTAAAGCATCTAATGTCGATTTCTTGCAGATTGATGATCAAGGGGACTCACGAGAAATCAAGAGGAACTGGTGAAACAATGACACTAACGTTTAGCTCGCCGCTTGACTTTGGTGGACCAAATGCAACAATTGGCTCGTTTATATTTCTGCGCCGCTGGTCACTGGCATTGTTCAGGGAAGATGGATCCAGTGATCTCTCAAATTCTGCTTTTCTAGCTGCCCGAATTAACAGTGTCCGATCTCCAAACCATCTTGCTGGGTATACGAATTCTGTTCACAAACATAAATTAAATTCTGAAAGCATTGGTTTCCCTTTAATTAACTTGTTAAGACTTTGTTTGGTTGCAGATTTCGTGAGAGTAAGGAAAATGAAGAGAAGGAAAAGGTAAAGGGAAAACAATCTTCCTCATTTTCTCTTAAATTTCAATAAAGCTCCAAGTTAGAATTTTCTCAAAAATATCAGAAAGAAAAATACAAAACAAAAAGAGGATAATGAATTGTGAAAATTAAAACTTTCCCTCTCTCCTTTTAGTTATTTTTCTCTCCTACTTTCCATGATAGGAAAATGGTTTCCTTTGCATTCTCTTTTAACTTTCCTCCCTGCGATTGAAGCAAGAGAAAAATAGAAATGGGACAAAATGAAATTATCATTTATATGTTGTAGTATTAATTTCATAGAATTATTTGGCCAAGTTAATTAAAGTAATACAACTTGTTAAATGTACAAATAATTGAATAGTCATAAATGTTGGTTCTCATTTTATAAATGTACAACTGTTACTAACCAAATCCTTCATTTGTTTCAACGCAACGTCTGTAACCTGCAATTGGATAGAGCACGTCCAGCTTAAGATTCTGACCAGTCTCTGGCGACAACCCAAGCAGAAAACTTGTTATTCCTGCAAAATTAGCACCGAGAGCAAGTACAGAAGCTGACCCAACTCCAGTTAGTAGCCGACGCCTAAAAACCGAAGCGAGAGGTGCAAATTGGTCGGCCGGAGATCTTCCCGGGGGAATTGTTACCCCTTGCGGGCTGTCTTTCTGGTCACCGGACGGTTGAGTCATACAAATCCGGTGGAGAGATTTTGGTTTACATGCATGGAGGTAGTGTTGCATGGCCATTGTCCACTCTCTTTTGTGCAAGAACTAAGGTTATTCATGTGTGGAGCTGTTGGGGTTAGTACGTTGTACTTGAATTCTTCCCAGAATTATTGATATAACCAATGAAAAAGTTCCACGTAACGTGCCTTGTTTTTTATTTGCTATTATGCTAAAATGTGGGGTAATTAGGAATTCATCTTCTGCAAATAAGAGTGATGTGGCATTATGTGATTGGTGCTGTGATGGTTTGTTTGAGTGAGTGTGTAGGAGTAGGCCATGTCAATGATAATGCTATCCAGTTTTGGTGGCTCTCACTCATTTGGTTACATGAAGTCTAAAAACAGAGACTTTGATTTGTGAAAACACGTTTCATTTTCATCATCTTCTTTTTTATTGTCATTAGTATGTTATCTTCTCTCAGGTTATATTTGGAGACACGATGTGTTTGAATTTAAAATTAGAAGGGAAGGTTCAAGTAAATTTTGTGGGAATTATAATTTTATTTGGCATGTGTTATTCATTGGTGATATATAAAAATTGTTGACTGCAAAATATTGTGAACTTCCAAGTTCCAAAGATGCTTATAATGTTACTTTTCACATGTATTGGTTCCTTTAACATTAAACTTAAGGCTCTAATAAAAGAGATTAAAATTCTAATCAGATTGCGCCAATCAAAATAAGCAAATTTGAGTTTGCTAATTCAGCTAAGATTTAGGTTTGTTAGCTTAGATTTATATTTTGAGAATACGTGTGGAAGGATTTTAAACCTTATAGAGGTGAATTTCAAATAGCAAAATGAAATGATTTCTTAGAAGAGTAATGTTCTTAAGAGGGTCATGAGATGGGTTATGAGCTCTTCACATAGGCAAATGAATCAATTAATACATTTTCAATTCATTGGTTAAATATGAAAAGTTCGTTACTTTCTTAAAAGCATTACTTTACATAGGCAACATGTGTGGGCTGAGGAGGCGTTTAATGAGAGCATTATGTGGTACGCATAATTGTGCAGGGAAGCTATGTCATGCAAGCAATCCGTGTGAAAAAAGTAGAATACGAGAGTTCCAGAATCTTTTAGAATTGTGTGGTTTTGGAGTTATTGTGAAGCGAATTGGAAGATTCTAAAATATTAGAGAGACGTACATTCTTGTATAAAGTTAAAGATTTTAAAAGTATCGCGAAGTGTGGAGAGTTTTAGAATAGAACTACTAAGCCTATAAATATGTTTTGGAGCGCTTTGGAACCAAGAAGCTCCAAGTAGGAGTGAGAAGCTCAAGAGTGAGCCATCTTCAATTCTATAAATAGATGAACTAAATGATCTCACTAAAATCTATACTTCTCTTTAAACCTATGTTCTATTCTTCACTTTATCTAGTTCAATTTATCTAAAATAGTTTGACTTCCATCTAATCTCATAGTTGAGGCTTGTTAAGCTTCTATAGAAAAAAAATCCTTTCGAATTACTCTATCATTGAAGGCCTTCCAGTGAGGGATTTTAAATTTGTATTTACTAAATTTTCAAGTTTTCAATTTTCAATGCTGAATTGGCGCAATCTGATTACTCCATATTTAATTTGTAATATATAGTATTCAAAATAAGCAAATTACTCCATATTTAATTTATTCACTCGACGATAACAAAATTATGTTAAAAATGTGACGTTAATCATTACCTTAGATGCTCACTGAACATGAACATCGTTTAATGAAATACTTGTAACAATAAAAAGTGTTCAAAATCAAATCATTTACTTGAATACTATATATTACAAACTTATCATTTGATTTACTATTATTTACTATTTTTATAATCTAATATAATAGGCAGTCTAAAGGTAGATGTAATACATATGAGCATCAATCATGCCAGTAACAAAATAAAATTGATGTTAATGAATATTGTTAACAAAATATTGTTGATATTTAAACAATATTTTTTTAAGTGAGTAAAGAAATTTAAATGAAGTAACTCGATAAAGATATTAATCTAATTCTAAATTGATTGTTAGCTCGTTACACATATTTCTTTCATTTCCGTTTGAATTATGGTCTTTAAATAATAAAGTAACTTTACTATTATGCCAATATATATGTCCTTTAGTTAAACATATAAGTAAAAGTGAAATTAGAGATTTATAGAAATTTATTAAAAGGTCTGTTATGTTAGAAAATAAAAGATTAACTTCCAAAACAAATGTTAAAATGTTTCCTTGAGTGAGTGAGCATGAGATTAGGAGATGTCAAATACACAAATGCATATGCAGTTATGTACATATATTTTTATACAGAAAAAACACACACAGACACACATATTTATTAGCAATAAAAATCTAAGTAAAATTAATACCACATCTCGAAGAAAAAAAAATTAGAATCAATCTTCAAGTCCTTTGTCTTTATTCTTAAAATTGAATTGTTACTCCACAATTATAATTCAATACTTTTCATTTATTTAAGTGTTATAGAATAAAATTATCTTTTCATTTGTTATAATTATCTTTTCATCATTTGTGTAAAATTTTGAAATTTTCATTAGTGAAGTGTAATATCTCTTATATTAGTACCAAATTCTCCAGCATTTTTTTGTCCCAGTTACTTATGAGGATCCAAATTTTTATTTTCAATGATAGATTCTTCAATCTCACTAAATTTGTTGAAAGAAAACGAATGTATTTTAGACCAAATGACACAACAAAATAAGAATTTTATTTCAAGGTTGGAAGTTAAATGAGAATATATACACAGGTGCGATATCATCAATATGAATTATTCTCCCATTCCCACCTAGAACCATCACGTACGATCTCATTTTTGCACGAAAAAAATAATAAAGTATTAATAAATGGCGAATTACAAAATTATAATGCACAAAGTTGACAGAGCATCAACAAGTTAGTGGTCTAGTGGTATCAGGCTCTTATTTTTTAAAAAGAGAACCTTGGTGGACATATGTGTGTGTGAATACCAATTAAAAAATAAATAAATAAATAAATTTGACAGAGCAAGAAGGACAAAAGATTAACAAAATTATAAAATATAGAATCAACAAAATAAGCCAAAATAGAAAGAAAACTAGTACAAAGATTAATTTAAATAAAAAAGTAAACACCCTTAGAAGATGATACCTCTTGCTAAATCTATTGTATTGAGTCATATAATTAAAAGAAAAGACAAACTTGGAAAAAACATAAATCAAAATATAACATATTAGATTCTTCAACTGCTTATTCATTTTTTATACCCTCAAGCTTTTCCAGAATTGCATAAGAAAGTGGTGTACTTAAATGAAGTTGCAATGTCACTAAATGTCCAACCATAAAAAGGAATAAAAATTCAATAAGGTAATTTTTGAGACTTTGTTAAACTTTTATTAAAAAAAAATTTAAAAATATTAAGAAATAGAAACAGGGGTTTACACTTTTAAATTGGTATAGATATAGATACATATATATAGAAAGATATAGATATAGATTTTTTATTTGTTTTGGAATATTGTGGATTAGAGCTCTAGGAATTTTTGGGAATGATGGATTGCTTTTAAAATAGTAGGACGGAAAAAAAGTATATATATTTCCCTTTTTTTTCGGAATATTGTGGATCAATGGTATGAACTATGAGAAGTGATTTAAGAGACTTTTATGAAGAAAAAAATGTTAAAAAATAGAGAAATAAATTAACTGCTTTAATGAGGTATAATTTATTATGTGCTTTCATGAGATTTTATGTAAAATAAAAAATAAAAAATATTAAAATATACTTTACACTTTTAGAATAGTGTATATATATATATGTGTGTATATATATATAGGGTCAAGGGTAGAAAATACCTTTGAAGTATGCTTACAGTACATATCACACCTCTCAAGTTTCAATTTGGTGCAGTTAGGTCCCCTGACACATTTAAAATCTAAATTGACCAAGTTATCCTTACCGAACCATTTTATAAAATATATAAAAATATTTTTTTTAAAAAAAAAGACCAAAAATGACATGTTTTAGTGACGTTTTGCACACCCCATTTACCAAGTCATTTGCATCATCAGAAGGCTTTTGTGGAGAAGAAGCATGACACAGCTAACAGTGACAGTGAGCTCCCGACGAATGGACTGTGTTTCGGCAACAGAGAAATGGTCTTTGTTCATATCGAGCCCAGCGGCGATGATGAAGAAAGGTGGAGTAGGATGGTTATGTGACAGATTTATGGATGTGCTCGGAGAAGATGGCGGCGCATCGAACTAGACGAGCGTGAGTGATACTTGTTAGGTTTGTGGCTCAAAATTTCTGCGCAGAAAATTAGTTTCCTTTTTTGTTTTGGAAGCTGCAAGAAACAGTTTCCTGATTGGTTTTGGAATCCAGAAGGGGAAAAAGGCTAAAGATTTAGGAAGGAAGTTATACCTGTTATTTTAGAGTTGAAGATTGATATGGTAATTCCTTGTAGGTAAGTTGATCCTTGTCCAACAAGGAATTGGATTTGAGGAATACTTGTCCAACAAGGAATTGAGTTTTGAAGACTCTATAAATAGAGATAGGTATGAGGGGTTTAGAGAGAGAGAGAAGAGATAAAAAATGTAAGAGGTTTAAGGGTGAGTTTTGTGAGGAGGGGATAGTATATGTAATTCCCGAGTGTATACATGTAGCCTCAAAAGAGATGATGAGTGAGTGAGTGGGGTTTTGACATATGGTTGTATATTCTCTTCCTTGATTCATAATAGTAAAATCTCTCTCTCCCATGGACGTAACCCTAGAGTTGGGTGAACCATGTAAAATATTGTGTTGTGCGTTGATGTGTATGATTGTTATCTTCATATATGCTTCTGTTGATATGATGTGATGATACTTCCGCTGTGTATGATAAAGGAGGGATTTAACTCTCAACAACAGCCGACCGTTGAGTGGTTTGGAGGGAGTTAATTATCCCTAACAACTGGTATCAGAGCCGATGGTAGGTCAGAGCCTGTGATTGGTCTTGAAGATCAGTAGAAGAAGATTGGTGCGAAGTTTGTCAGAGCAGAGGATGATAGTGAGGTGCTATGGAGATTCAATCAAAGTTGATGATGACACGAAGGTATGAAGAAGGTGATAGCGTGAAGCCCATGAGGAACAAGTCTTGTGACAAGTTAGAAGATGCTCGTTTTCAAGATGGGGCAAAGGTGATAGAGGTGAAGCCCACGGGGAACAAGTTTTGAGGACAAGTCAAGAGTGGGTGCTAGTTTTCAAGATGGGGTAAGGGGTATGAAGAATAAAGGGGTTTGCTCTAAGCCTGATAAAGAGCAAAGGGGAGTATGAAGAGTGAAGATGAGAGGTTTGTTACTCTGGCCAGAATTGCAATTGATGAAGATGAGTTGAAGATTGGTGGGTTGCCATGCGTGAGCAATTGAACACCAATGGGGTGGATAGAGAAGATAGAAGAAAAAAAGAAGAATGATGAATTTGAGAAAATGTGGAGATTGTTAAAGTGTTTCTCAAGTTCATCATAGTGATTTATTTGAGGTGGAGAAATCTTCAGTTGAGGTGGAGCTATGAAGAGATCCTTGTTCAAGGTAGAGCTATGGAGAAGTACATGAAGATTGAATTTTAAGCCAAGGTGCAGATTGTTGGGTTTGTGGCTCAAAATTTGTGCGTAGAAAATTAGTTTTCTTTTTCGTTTTGGAAGCTGCGAGAAACAATTTCCTGATTGGTTTTGGAATCCAGAAGGGGAAAAGGGCTAAAGATTTGGGAAGGAAGTTATACTTGCTATTTTAGAGTTGAAGATGGATATGGTAACTCCTTGTAGGTAAGTTGATCCTTGTCCAACAAGAAATTGGATTTGAGGAATACTTGTCCAATAAGGAATTGAGTTTTGAAGACTTTATAAATAGAGATGGGTATAAGGGGTTTAGAGAGAGGAGAAGAGATAAAAGATGTAAAGGGTTTAAGGGTGAGTTTTGTGAGGAAGGGAGAGTATAAGTAATTCCCGAGTGTATACATGTAGCTTCAAAAGAGATGATGAGTGAGTGAGTAGGGTTTTGACATGTGGTTGTATATTCTCTTCCTTGATTTATAATAGTGAAATCTCTTTCTCCCATGGACGTAACCCTAGATTTGGGTGAACCATGTAAAATATTGTGTTGTGCGTTGATGTGTATGATTGTTATCTCCATACATGCTTGTGTTGATGTGATGTGATGATGCTTCTACTGTGTATGATGAAGGAGAGATTTAACTCTCAACAATAGCCGACCGTTGAGTGGGTTGGAGGGAGTTAATTATCCCCAACAATACTGAAGGTGATGCGTGAACGTGATGTGCTCCTGTTGTTGGTGCGAATAAATCTGACGCGCCTTTGCTATTGGTGTGTGTTGATTGTGACATCCATCGCTATAACTCCGACATCAGCTGACGTGACTGCAAGCTTGTGATGACGTACTTAAACGATGTGCAAAGAAGATAGAGTAACCGATTGGCGATGGGTTTGACGGGGAAGGTGAGTTGCAGTTGGTCTTCTTTGGTTCGGGTGGTCAGTAGCGAAATAGATGATTACGTCTGTGAGAAGCTGATAATGCGTGGCTGCCGGTGCAAAAGTGGTGGTCTCTTTGTGATGTGGACGTGACGGTCGACTATTAGTTGGTGTCACCGGTGGTGAGGAAAACCTCGACGACGGTTGTGGATCTGAGGTTGGCAGCATAATCTGAACGGCGGCAGTGAAGCGGCGGCGGCGGTGGCAGAAAGTTTTGAAGAAACCACTAGCGATTACTCGATCGACGAATTACATATATATATACCCCTGGGCATTTTTGGAATAATAAAAGAGCAAAATGTGTATTACAACACTAATTTATGTCAAATTTTTGACAATGGGTAATTTTGCATAATGTCAAAAAATTAAGGATATTTATTGCACACTTTTTCAAATAGAGAGTAAAAAAAACATACTTAATAGATGTTTTATGCATTTACCCCGTGCGCGTGCGTGTGTGCGTGTGTGTGGATAGATAAATATATGCATTTACCCTGCGCGTGTGTGTAGATAGATAAATATATCATATAATCATTATTATTTCCCGATCTCAATTTTCTCACCATGTTCTTATCATAAAATAGATTATTATAAATGAAACCAAGATCCTAGAAAATGTATTAACGCTAGATTTTTCATATTGTACTTGTAAATATCCCAAAATATTCTCTTACATTCCTACTTTTAAAAAGTAAATTGTGTTTTTTCAGTGAAAAATTCGAAATGCAATGTATGAGCATGAAAGTGGGATACAAACAAATAGGACAAATTGGAGAAAGCCAGTCGAAATTTTATTTTTTGAACAGACAATTCTTTGAACTCCTAATTCAGCAAAATACCCCTTTTTTTTGTTTTCGATCTTTAACTTCTCCGGAAGCTTGCAATTTTTATTTATATTTTTTGTTGGTAGTTGTACGATAGTTGATAAAGTAGATTTTCAGTAGTGAAATTCTCTACTATGCCCTTTCTTATTGGCTAAAATTTCATTAGTTCTTTATGTGTCTGTATATATATAATTATATATATCCATATAACATTTGAATCAATATGCTAATCCATTTCAAATACATACACTGTTTGTATGAGTGCCTTCAAGAATGGAGCCAAGAATTTAATTTAAGGGCACAATGAATATAATTATTAATTTTCTTTTCAATTAACCGTGCAACAAACCAAGAAGTCCAAAAATTCAAATACTTTATATATCATTGTTCCAAAAATTATACGGTAAAAAAATTCAAAAATATAAAATATGAACATTAAATTCATAAAATTGCAGTAACATTTAAAAAACAACAACAACAATAATAATAAAAAGTATAAGAAGAGAGGAAAAAGAGTGAAATGGCTAAGGCGCGTTCAAACGTCGGGATGAGAAAATTTACCTGTCACTCAAAATACACCTGGGATATGAGATCGTGACGCCTAAAAACTCTCTTTTTCTTCGAAAAAGTAATATAGCAGATAGAGCATAGGGCGCAACTATTATTGCACATGCATAAAAAGAACCCAGAAGGCCATTAGGCTTTAAAGGAGCCGCCTTTTTCTTTTGCGAGTAATTATATATATATATATATATATATGTATGTATGTATGTATAGTGGATACACAAAGCAGGAAAATGATACATATCACGAATTCACTAATGATTTTCGTGATAGGTAATTTGCTTCCAAATAGGTAGTTTGCTTAAAATAAAAATGCCAGCAATGTATTATTTATCTATGGAAATTCCAGCAACTTGAACCCAACATCTAGGGCAACAGTCTATTCAGATTTGACTTATTTTTTCAATAGAACACTCTACCTCGAATAAATCTGTATGATTTTGAAAACAAAATTCTCATTTTTTAACATAAAATTAGCAAAAAATAGATCGTTTAAGAAGTGGAGTATATTTTATTAATGCAACTCACCGAAAAGTTTGTTTGTGCTAAAAGATCATAAAATGCACAAATTTTAGAAGAGTATTTTTTTGGGTGACAAGTGTTAGATTGTGTTATAAGGTGCATTCTATTTAATTCATGAATTTTGAAAATCAAGTACATGCATTCTATTAATTCATGAAATTTGGAAATAACATGTATGTATGGAAGTTTCTTGGGAGGCTTAAGAACCTTATCTTGATCGTTTGAAGGCACTAGAAAAACTAGAAGTTTATTCCTTAATTAATTCAAAGCTCGATAATTTTCTTATATTTGAACAATCTGAAAGCAGATTGCTTCACTTAATAGTGCATCCTGCAAATATATTAGTTAGAAGGAGTTCAAGCTTGGTTGAATTTCGAAAAGAGAACGATTAAAATTCCTTACACTTTGTGAGAGGTTTCGAATGTTGTCAAAAAGCCTTAACCCTTCTCTAAGTCTGTGGCAAGTGATTGGCGGCTAGAAGATTGGAGTTCATTTATTTTATTTTATTTTTTACAGAGAAAATTTTCATTTGCCACCTCATTCAAGATGCACATCTTGAAATAATTTCGTATTAGTACTAGCCGGCGATGACATTTATAATATCTCAATGGCTTCGTAAATTCACAGTATACACATTTTGCTTCATCTCTAAAAAGGTATATTGTCGTCACATAATTGGAGTATTGAAATTGAAGTTGATGAAATTGGAGAAAAATAACTAATATAATTGAACAAAAAAATTTCTCAAATTTTACCAATTTAAATTTTAAGACTCAAATTCCATGCAACCAAACAAGACATTTATCCTTTAAAAAAAAAAAATCATTTACATTTTCTAATTTTTATTATACAAATGTATATATATTTCACTGGATTGCCTTTTTTATTTTTAGTGCGCCGTAAGACCAACTGTTGTTTAGTGCACAATGCAAATGCACAACAAAAGGAGTAACCGTTGGTACAAATATGTATAAATTCAGACATACTTATGTAACACACATTATAGATATATATATATCTCGGACGTCGCAGTAAGCACCGCTCTTCCGAAACTTGACGTGTATAAATAACCCCATTCGCCCCCAATTTCAATTCAAATCTCCAATTTCGTTCTTCTTTCGATCTGATCTGCTACGGACACAGAACCAAACACTACGCAAAATGGCGATGGCGAGGGCAAGCTCTGGCCTCGCATACCCCGAGAGGTTCTACGCCGCCGCCTCCTACGTCGGCTTCGACGGATCTCCCAATTCCTCTTCCAAAGCCCTCACCTCCAAGTTTGCAAACGACGTCGCTCTTTTGCTCTACGGATTGTACCAGCAGGTAGGTTACCAACATCTGCAGTTTTGCGATCTGATGTTGTATAATGTGAAATTCGTTGTTCTATGGTGTAATCGGCGTCGATTTGTGATTGTGTTTGTGTTATTGTATGAATGGTGTATTTAATATGTGGAGTTTGATTTGAATTCTGGTAGATCTGGGTTTTGGGGGTTGAGTTTGGTGCTGTGAAAATGCTGATCCGGTAGCTAAGAGAAATTATGAGAAGATTAGAAATTGATAATTCTACTGTTACGTTTAATTGTATGAGCAAAGCTTTTATTTTCTTTTGTTTCCGTTGGTTTTCTCATTAGGATTAGTGGGGGAGATGTATGGTTGCGCTAGCAATTGTGGTGGTGCTCGGTTTATTTTTGCATTTAGACGTCACTTTAGATTCGTTATTCAATATGTTTACCACTAATGTGGAATGTGAAGTGTCTTTTCATGTTGCTTATGGATTAAACGTGAGAAATATCGTTTGAGTAGGGGCTATTTGTTTTGGCTTGAGAGATTTGCATATGGAGCTACTGAAAGTAATTGTTCTGGATTTTGGTTGTAGGCTAGTTCTGGACCTTGTAAAATCCCAAAACCCAAAGGTTGGAGTCCCGTTGAGCAAAGCAAATGGGCGAGGTTTGTGTACTTGAGCTCTGTGATATGTTATATGTATGTGTGTGTGTGTGTATATATATATAAGTATCTGTGATACGTTATTTTTGTGAATCCAAGTTTGATTCAATATTTGAAACGCGTGGTCTAAACCAATGCATAAATTGACCCTAAACTTTGGGGAGAGTTGTACTGGTATGAGCTTCAGTCATCAGCACTGAGAATTGAGCTATTCTATATTGAATTTCTGGAATCAACAATTTAAAAATGACAGATTAGAAATTAGAATCTTTGGGGGGCAGCAAATGGTCTAAAAGGCCTAAAAACCAACAAAGAAATGAAGCCAACCGAAAGCTATGAAATGATGGTAAAGAATAAGAACTCAGTTACTACATATATATGTTAATAATCATAAATTGTAGTTTTCATTTGGAAAACTAAAAGGGTATTGATAAATTATGGAGGAATAGTCTTTATCATCATAGATTTCTATGATTTAGAAAGCTTGTATTACTACCTTTGAAAGGCGGGAAAGTTTATCTGCATGGATAGCTTGTATGTATGATTTGCAAGGATCAAATTCTGTGACAGTATTTTTGTTGGTGATTGCCTCCTCTCAATTGCATACTTCATCTTTGTATAATTGTTGCAGAGGAGGATTATTGGGTCTCCTTCATTGCAGAAAAAAAAAAAAAATAATAATAATAAAAAAAGGATTAACAATTATGATCCTTGCAAAAAGTTGGAACGATGCTAAATAATAGAGTCCCAAGACTTAAGTATGATCCTTGCAAAAAGTTAGAACGAGGCTAAATAATAGAGTCAAGAGGTCTTGGGTGCCTTGAGTAGTCAAGAGGTTTTGGGTGCCTTGAGCAGTTCAGTTCCCACCCCCCTCTCCTCCTTCTCCTTTATATTGAGTTTTTATCACAAGATAATGAAAGAAATGGATCGTTTGTTGAGTGTTATAAAAAACAGATTTCTTTTAATGAATATTATTTTGCTTAGCCAGCTGGTCTTGACTAGAGGCTGTAGACTGCTTGATTCCTAGGAATTGGTGCAATACTAATAAATCCGACAAAACTATACTTTATCTTCCAAAAACTATATGAAAGAATCAATCAACAAATAGGAGCTCCTAGTATTTCTAAAAAAATAAGGAGATGAAAAGTTATGCTCAAGTGCCCAAATGGAGAACTCCACCCTTCAAAAGATCTTTTATTCTTCACCCCCAATTGCTCCACCAAAGACAAAGCGGAGCCATTCACCAACCCTCTCCAGCACCCTACAACTCCTTCAACTAGTGATCACCTCCTTCGTCAATCCAAGCATCACCCTGTGAACTCCAAAGACAGCAAGAAATATTGCCCTTGAGTCTTTTGCCACCGAACAGTGTAAATAGCCAATCTGTTCTTCCGTCCCTATTGCATATCAACACCTGCTGACAGTGGTTTGTTTTGAGGTTGTAAATGTTTGACATCTTTCCAAGAGCTATTGTCTATCCACAAAAAGCTACTTTGAAAAGAGCTTTCATGCCCTAAATTTTACTTTCGCAGGAATCTTTGATGGTTTTCTCAAAAGGGGTTGATTGAACTATACCAAAGGTATCACCCACAACCAAAATGATATTTAAACTCACCCTAACATTTCCCAGGGAAGCCTTTCAACAGCTTTTACAACCTTTTCATCACATACGTTAGGAGTGAGAGAAGGAACATAAACTTCGTAGCAAGCTCATTATTTTTTACGTGAGTGAGCCTCCCCCCCTTTGATATATATTGTCTAATCCATCCTGCCAATTTCTTCATGAAGTTCTTGATAACTGAATCCGAAACCTCTGCAGTATTAAGAGAACCAAAAGGGATAACAAGTAGCTAAAAGGGTTCCTGTCCTAGTGTCCTACGCCCTAAAATGCCTTCCAACTTGTGCACCCTTCACCTCTCCCCCCTGAATCCAATCTCTCTTGCACCAATTGATCTTCAATCCTGAAACTGCTGAAGTGTACACTTCAAATAGTTCAGTTGGTCCTCTTTATATCACAGAAAACAATCCTCTACCGCCAAAATTTTTGTCCTAATGACCCAATTCTGAAACTTGAGTAACCCTCGCATCACTGGTCTTCGCATCATATGAGTGAATTTTCATCACTATAATGAAAAGCAAAGGAAAGAAATAGTTCCCCTCTCTAAGCCCCCTAGAATTTCCATGGAGATCTGCTGGAATCCCATTCGTCTTGTCTCTGAAACATTTTCTAATGCATAGAATTCTATGCCTTTTCAACATCCAATTTGCACACAACCCTGCTCATTAATCCTAATCCTACTTCAATTACTTGTTAGTCTAACTCTATGGATAATTATAGAACCATTTTTGTATTTGTGGACACAAAGATTTATTTGGATCTAACAAAAAGATTTATTTGGATCTAACAACCATGAAAATTATCATGTCTGATTGCTTTGGGGAACAGATCTATAAAATTTCCCTCATGGAATTAAAAAAAACTTAATTTAATATTCATGTATTAAGAGGATGGCTAGGGAAGGGTATTCAGTGGCCAATATCTAAAGTTGATATCACTATTGTGAGCTTCTTGTTGTGCTTGTGTGCTGATTTCCATCTTCCTTTAAGGACATTGCCACTAGAAACCTTTACTGGTACAGTAGTAGTGTTCTCCCAGTACCAATTTTTATCTAGGAGTGGATTAGAAAATTCCTGTCAATATCTATTTTGGGTAGTACGTGCAAAGGCATTCTATTTTTCAAGGATTCGTTCCTCGTTGCTACTGCTAAGAAGCCTCAAGCTAGGTTTAAGTCCAAGAAAATTTATTTTTATGTTTCATTAAAGTATTCATTCTTTGGCAAATATTATAGATATGAAAAAAAGATAAAGAAAGGTCACTTCCTATCATGTATGCGTGTGTATGTTTATAGGCGGAATGCTCATAATGCGGATAATCAATTAAGAGAACTGTAGTGTTTCTATAGCTTATAAACATTCAATTCTCCTTTATGGTCGAATTCCTTAGTTAATAATATACCCTCACAAGTGTTCTATCCTTGTCCCTTTGTTCTGAAGCATTGCTCTCTCCTCGTCTAAATTCAAGATTAGTAACTAGACTCACTAATTACATTTTATTTCTGAATCATTGTACATCTATTACAATTTTATCAGTCTCCATTATAAATAGTGTCCTCTTTAAATGCAGTTGGCATGGGCTTGGAAACATGGCTTCCACTGAGGCAATGCGTCTCTTTGTAAAAATATTGGAGGTTTCTGCAAAGTTGATTTTTCTGTCACTTTACCACAGTGCAACATTTAAGAACCTCAGTTCATTATACTGTTTCAAAATTTTTATTTACTTATTATTTATTTTCCCCCCTTTTTGGATAGGAAGAAGATCCGGGATGGTATTCAAGGGCATCCAACTTTGTTGCGGAGCCTGTTGTAGATGTGGAAATTAACGTGAGTATTTTTATAGTTACATATATATATGGAGTTAATTTTTCTTCTTCTTCTCTCTCTCTTTTAAATTATTTGTTAATTCTAGTTATAAATTGATTCTCGGTATCATATTTTGTGATCGTGATCTAAAGTACTGTTCATCTCGCAGACACATTACAACCAGGGGTAATTAACAAGATGACACTTCTGATAAGAACCTACATAATCCTACTTATCAAAAAAATAAAAAATAACCCACATAATCCCATATTTTCAGAATTGCCACTTATTGAACTGAATTCTTTTGATAAGTCACTTTTTGGACTGTTAGTAAAATTTAGCATTTTCCCACCATTTATTGTCTTTAATTTAAATCATGTGGACTTTTGGTTTATAGTTGTGGTGAAATGTTTTTGGTTCAGTGGTAGAGTAGCATCACAGTCATGTACAAATGTCTAAAAGTCAAATTATGGGAGGCCCATCAGTTGTGGTTCAAGGGAGTTAACGTGGTGTGGCTGTCTGTGGGCTAATTTATGGTAGGATCACTAAAACCGCTAAAAGGGGAAACCTTTTTTATATAGAGAAGATGGTTCTTATTTGGTTTGTTGGTAGCATATGATGATTTCTTTGTAATATAGCTAATATGAGCTTATTTTTCATAGGTTAAGGGGCCATGGGGAAGAAACTTCAGGTTTCTTTTTCTGATTAACAGAGAAAGTAAAACCTAGGCTCCATCTGGATGACAAAAATGAGGGATCAGGAATAAAACTAATTACTAGAAAAGATGTCCAATAATGAGAGCAGGGCATTTTTTTCGTTTATACATCATTTCAATTTCTACATAACTATTATTGATGAGTTTTTTCTCTCCCTTTTGTGGGAATTAGACTGCTTAATCCATGTGGGTTCCTAACCCCATAGATGTATTGTTGAGGTGGATAATACTTGGCATCTCTATTCAGTCATGTGGCATCTAGGTTGAAGCCCATGTAAACTCTTGTAGCATGACTCATAGCCATTTCCTAATAACAATCTCCAATCTCTAGTTGACATGTGGAGCAGTTCATAGGACACGTGGTCTTTTCTGAATGTGTCATGTATCAGGCATCCACGAAGCTTCTAACAGATCAAGTCCTATGGTTGAGCTCACCCAATTCTGGCTCCTTGGACTATTGACAAAAGGGTATTGCCACCACCGTGCACCCTACTGCCTAAACCAGAATCTTATGCTGTGCTGCAATTAGCTCTATTGAACAACTTGCACCATGCACTCTACTGGTATATAGCCGAATAGCTGCATGGTGCCATGTCTTCATAAGGTTTGACTGTGCACTTCTCTAGCTGCTTACTTCGTCTTCTCCATAAATAAATCCTTGAAAGTGTTTCATGAGGTTCAAGTGCTCACTTTTAGGCACGCATTCCTTCCCCTCTCCCCCTTTTTTTGTTTCCAGACACTTCCTGTGTTCTCTACACAAAAGACAACTTGTTGTGCACTACAACTTGATGAACCCCTTGTGCTGCCTCTGCCTGAGTTAGGAGCAAGACTTTAGGGCTCTTGCTGCTTGGTGCAACACATGAAGTGGTTTAACTTGCTGTCATGCCATAGTCCACTTTGGGATTCTAGAAGTGCGTGGTCCGATGGCTGGACTCTAGGATATGCCGAAGCTCTCCCTTGCTGTATTAACCTCAACCTGGCTTAGAGAGGGCACCGAGTGACTTTTCCCTAAGGAGAGCATGTCGCATGAGTACCTTTTTCCTAACTCATATATTAGAAATAGATCCCTACCTTGCGTTAAATGGGGGATCTTCTAGAACACTTAATATCTCTTAGAAACACGTAGACAGGTTTCAACCTCTCTAAATAGTGACTAAGTTCAAAACGGCAAGAGTGTCATAACTATTTTGTGGTGACCTGCAAAAGTCTCTTTCTCTGATAAGCCAGCGTCGACTTCCAACTCAACATATTACACAAACACCTCTACAATATTTTTCTGATCTGTTTACAAGTTCCATATAGTGTTTCTAGTTGATTACGGATTTGGCTTCAGTGAGAACTTTTAATCACATTGATCTCTACAAATAATTTAAGAAGAAGATTCACTCTGATTAATGTGCGCATCCTATTAAACTCATAATAGACAATCCTTTATATATGTCAATTATACACGCTCATTTGTGTACATACATATACAGTAGTGATATCTTGCTCCACGGGGAGCAAGAAAATCCATCCGCACTTTTTATATTGACCGTTAGATGTTACATTCCAAACCCACCTATTTAATTTCCTTTTAATACAAAACCACTCTCTCCCTGGTTTTAGTTTCCAAATTTAATATTACGAATACCACCAACTTTAACAATAAAAGGTAACCACCAAAATTTGTTACTGCCTTCTTCCCATGTCTGGTTGTGATCTCAAAATTTGCTTGTACGTTCCCAAAATTCTAATTAACCTATTTTTCAATTAGACACAGCTCACATTGGGTAATGACCCTACTCAAAGTAAAGAACTCTATAGAGCTTAATGTGGAAGGTTAAGTGACCTGACATTACTGCCTCTGGATACATTGGTATTTCTTGAAGGAGATTTGTGATTTGCATCCATTAATGGAATCGAATAATCCTATCAAGAACAGAATTGCTCATCACCAATACAACTAAATTCTTGAGTTCCTTTCATATATTTCAGATTTCTAATTTATTAAATAAAATAATGTAACATTGTTTATTAGTAAGAATACAAAACACATAAATTTTAATTCCTAATAGTATGGTTAAATTTATGTTTCTGCCTATGCATTGTCTCAGCACCTCCTATTACTTAAGCATTTAGGTTTCTGCATTGCCACTATCATAATTGTTGCCACTGCATGTGTGATCCTGGAACAGGTGATTTGAGGTTACACTGATTTATAATACAGGTGTCTTTGAAATTTTTTTTTTGTTGATTTTGTATTAAGGTAAAAATAGTTACATCCTGTAAAATTATGACTGGATGGAATACATTTTCTTGGGGTATATATATATATATTTCAAAATAGTATTTTCTTTCAATGATCTAGTTGAAATTTTGGTTTTTTTTGTTGTTGTTATATTAGTCAAACCACAGTAGTGAGACGTGAGAGAGGGGGTGAATTGAGTCGAGAGGTTTCTATTTTTGGTAATTACCTTATATTGTTAGAGTTGGGTATCGGTAATATTAAATTTGGAAACTAGAAATAGGGAGAGAGTGGTTTTGTATTAAAAGGAAAGGATATAGGTGGGTTTGGAATGTGATCGTTAGATTAAATCTAACTTTCACTATGGAAAGTGCGGATGAATTTTCTTGCTCCCTGTGGAGCAAGAGATCACTACCGTATACATATATATAGTAGGATTATTTAGTAATTTCGTAAATAATCAAGATTCAAGACTACTTAGTAAATTTAGATTTAAACCGTATTTTTTTTTTTAAATTTAAATTTTAGTCACATTCGAACTCAAATATTATTTAGGATTTGGCCATGTTTTCACTGACCCCCTCACCTTTTTACTAGTCCTATTTATATAAGAATATACACTACTTTTTTCATCATCGTCTTCCTTGCCCTTTTCCCATATGGATGGGGTCAGTCACATGAATTCTCTTTTTCCATTCATTCTTATTGTGTACCATGGCTTGTTTAATATTTAATTTGCTTAATGATTATAGTCATTTATTTTTTTCAAATTTTGATGAAAAGATGTGATTATCTTTCATACCAATTATCACTAGTACGATTATAACATCAATAATTTGAATAATATTTGTGCTAGTTTTGTGATTTTTTATTAATTAGGTTATTTTTATAAAATTTATCGTATTATTTAATTATTGAATGGAAATTGAATAAACTTATCTTTCTCGTACTTCTGGTTTGCCATAGGATTCGCACCCCCTTTGGTTGGTATGAGATAACCACTCTTTGTGGTGATCCTTTCCTAGGAATGGGATCCCTATTAGCGTGGGTGGATTCATAATGGAATCAAACAGAACAAAAGTGAGATTCCTGTTCGAGCCCCCAATCCTGCCAACAAGAAGGGCGAGGCCAAACATGGTTAACCCAAACCCACTTATCCCGTCCCGTGTTGTGCTCGAATCGTGTTAGAGTGTTTTTTCACTTATCCCGTCCCTTGGTAACCCAAACCCACTTATCCCGTCCCGTGTTGTGCTCGAATCGTGTTAAGAGTGTTGTTTCAAGTATTGCCACCCTTGTAGATAAGAATTTTGGATGCAACTAGAGGGTATTATGTTGCATTGGAGTCAAGTTATTTGACTGTTTGTTCAGATTTCCATCTGTGATTCACTTTGTTTTAAGTTCATGTGAATCCTCAGAACTTGACATAATTTAATTCTGTGGGGATAGTTCCTCAGAACCTTGACATAATTCAATTTTTTGGGGATATTTCATCTCTATCTTTGTATGTATAACCACATTGAGACTGTAAGGAACATGGTAGGATGCGGTTTAATTGAAGCTATGGGCTTATAGAACAGTACAATGGCAGAAAGACTCCAAATAATTGGGATGAGGTGCTTCTGGGTTGAGTTGAGTTGAATTGTATGTCGTATTGTGACTCTCCTAATTAATTGACAATGATATTTTTCTCTTCTTCTCTCTTGACATCAACGTTGAATTCTTCTTAAGAAGCAAAGGTTGGGTGATTGAAGAGTGGATTCTTACATTCACCAGATATTTTTTAAGGCCGCAATTTTTTAAAAAATTTCGATATTTCATCGGCTACAGTTAATTCCATCTCCTTGGAGAAAATTAGAAAATATGTGAGGTTTTTGTAGTAATCAATGATAATTCCTTTAAATGTGTGCTTGTAAATTTTGATTATATTTGGCGTATACACATGCATGCTTGCATCTGTGCCTCCTGGATAAGACTTCTCACATGGTTTATAACTTCTTCATCCACATATATACTTGGAATATATGGTAAAAGAGGGAGAACTAAAACAAATTCTATTGTTGGCAAAATTATGCAAATTCACCATTGCTTCTTTTCCATTTACAAAAAGTTGTGTGTCCTTATCTCTTTTTTTTTTTTTGGTGGTTGTGATTCAGACTTTAGCCTGACATCTGTACTTGCAATCATACAGAGAAATGAGGAAGAAGTTTATTATTAAACGTTTTTGTTGAGTTCCTTGAATTATATACTTATGCTGGAATAATGAAATCTTTCATGTATCATTTCCATAGCTATTGTACTTATCCAGACATTTTTTTTTTCTTGTTCATTTTGTTGATTTTATAGCATATTCCAAAGGTTAAACCAGTCACTGACAATGGAAACACTTCTCCCGAGACAAAGACTATTCCCACTGAAAACGGGAGCCTGTTGGAAACTCAGGATAAAGATGTTGTATTGGAGGGCCTTGGTTCAGTTGGTGTCTATGATCAATGGGTTGCACCTCCAGTATCTGGTCAACGGCCCAAAGCTCGATACGAGGTTTGCTTGTCTTATTTTTCAAGTCATTAGTTGGTTCTTATTTCTTTCTCGTCTCCCCTTTCTGAATCAAGTTTTCTTGAATTTGCAGCATGGAGCAGCAATTATTGATGATAAGATGTATATATTTGGTGGAAATCACAATGGACGTTACCTTAATGATCTTCAGGTACAGAAACTATTTGCCTAGATGCATAAAAACACAATTAGAAGTCATATACTTGTATACATGACTCATATGGAATGGAAGACCGTTGGCTATATTTTAATATGTTTTTGATAGTGTTGAAATATATTCAATTCTTCCAAATAATAGCAAACAATTTCTGAATTAGTGCGGGAATTTGAATATTACCTTTTCCCCTTCTTCGGCATTGTTTTCCTTTATATCTTCTATCCAATTTGCTTTACTTATAGGGAAGATTATCAAATTTTCCAGTTTTAACTTTTGCTTCTAGGTAGCTGTAGATATAATATTTCTTTAATCCGAGCAAATTTGCAGGTACTGGATTTAAGAAGTTGGACTTGGTCCAAGGTCGAAGTTAAATCCGGGGCCGACTCTCTGGAATCACCATCTCCAGTACCAATACCTCCCTGTGCCGGCCATTCCTTGGTTAGTATGAATACAAATTTCTTCTTTACTTCATTGATATTGGACGCGAAGTTGTGCAATGAATGTTTGAAGTTGTTCGTTATATTTATATGATTGATCTTTATGCCAATGCTGACTATCCTCTTTTGATATTGGACGCGAAATCTTGCTATGAATGTTTGAAGTTGTTTGTTATATTTATATGATTGATCTTTATGCCAATTCTGACTATCCTTTTTTGTTGATACATTATTTTTTTTTGTTTCTGTAGATTCCTTGGGGAGGAAATAAGCTTCTTTCAATTGCTGGACATACAAAGGATCCTTCTGAAGCTATGCAAGGTGTGAGTCATGTAATATTTTATTATTTAATGGGGATTTTAATTTTTGGGATATCACAGTTAAATATGTGGAATATTGCAGAAAGTTTTTGTTGGTATTACTGATTTGTAGTATCGGGAAAATTTCAATGAAACATAATGAGAGCATTGTCTATCCTTCTTCCTTTTCTCTTTCTTTTAGTGAACTCGATAATTTTATTTATTTAAAAATTATATTTAAAAACAACCACGTGGAATTAAACTCATGCCTATGTTGAATCATTTTTGTTAGCTTAAGTACAAATTTGGTCATATGTGAATTAAATTCAGTCTTTTAATATCTAATATGAAGGGAAATCATGTTAGAGTCAATAAGCTATTGACTATGTCTGCAAGGTGAACACCTCATCTATGTATGAGCTCTCTTTCTAATCTACTGAATTCTGAACACCGTTCCCATCCTTTTCTGATGCATACACCTCTGTGGGTTGGACTGGTGGTTGGTTGGTCAGCACGTCTCAAGAACCACTCCAGAGTTTTTAAAATGAAAAAAGACATTTAGATAAGCATGTAAGGGGTTTTCTTTGTATCCCAACCTAAGTTAGATTTTAGTTCCTTTTTGCCCCCCATTTTCAACTGTTCCTTAAATTTATTTCATTTGCTGGTTATAATCTTGACTAAAAATATGCTCTTGCTTTGGATGATTAGCTTGCTCAGGAAACATTGAAAATAAATATTTGGACTGATTTAAACAGAACTTAGTTGAAAGATAAAAATTCATTGTATTATCATCCACAATAAAATTTACTGTGAGCATTCTTTCACGTGGCTGGTCCTTCAAGACTTCTGCACTTTATTTTGATGGAGTCTGTTTGATGTTCATTGTCGTTCTTGTACCTTCTGAGCTTTCTTCCATCCAGGAAAGCTGGAATTACTGGAGATTTATCATGTTTGTTAGAAATTAGAACCCTTACTTGTAGATATTAGTTTCTTTTCTTTTTCCTTCTTCTTGCTTTATCTTTTGGATTTCTTTACCTTGTGACAGTGAAGGTATTTGATCTGCAAACTTGTACTTGGTCAAACTTAAAGACTTATGGGAAGCCACCGGTAATTATTCCTTTATACCTTAACTACTCCCTTCTTTTACTTCCATCGATTTAGTGCAACATTAATTGCTTTCATTTTTCTCATGGAATCAATCATTTCTGACAAAATTAACTGTCAAATTTGACTTGTTGATGTAGTTTTGAAATGCCACATCTTTAAACTCAGATTTGGATTTTATTTGAAATCTCTAACAAAAGAAATTTATTGGGCAAGTTTACGAGCTGCTTGTTTCTCATTCCTTTTCACAGGGAATGCAGAAACTTGTGATAAAAATGTCTCCTAATATTTTTTGACGCTTTGCAGGTCTCACGCGGAGGCCAATCAGTGACCCTTGTAGGGACAAATTTAGTCATATTTGGTGGACAAGATGCGAAGCGATCTCTCTTGAATGACCTGCACATTCTGGACTTGGAATCCTTGACCTGGGATGAAATGGATGCCTTGTAAGATGCCATATGGAAATCTATGAAGCTAGTTTGTTTTTCCTTTCCAAGTTTTTGTTATTTGACATGGTTGAGGAATGTTGATGAGCTAAGAAGCACGGACACTTCTATGAAGGTGCCGTGTTCGTGTTGGACACCAACACTTCATGGACACTCCTAGACACATGTCCGACACTTCATGGCCATGTCCATTATTTAAAAGTAATTTTTATTATTTCGGACACTTGGTCTACTCATAGGATAGTAATATCATATATAATATAATATAGTCTTTTTGATATTCGAAAAGAGTTGTCTACTAATTTATTTAAACTCCGTAGAGAATTTATAAATTAATTAAAGTTCTATGATTGTCTCATTCTATAGATATATAAATGAAAATTTATATTTATATTAGCTGTATCCACGCCATGTGTCCTACTTTTTTAGAATTTAACGTGTCAGCGTATCCATGTAGTATCGTGTCCATGTCTTGTGTCCTTCTCTGTGCTTCTTAATTGATGGGTTTAAGGTTGTGCCATTTTAACATGTCAATTTTCCGTTATAATGACGTGAGTTCTTCATGAACCGTGTTAGTTTTCCTATTTCACTCATTTAACTATCAACTGTCCTTATCTGGGATGTTCGGATGGTTTTCTGGTTTCATTTCTTAATAGATGCACTAGTATGGTAGTATCCTAGCAGCTACACTTGCACAATGACACAACCTTAACCATTATACACAGCTTCTTTGTGTTGAATGCCTGATATAGCATCACATGACAGCAACATGGTTTCACTCTCCATAATTTAGAAATATATTGAAAAAGCTGAATGTTCAGCTCATTACTATTCCTCATTTGCAATTGACCCTGTTTGGCTGTTTGACAACTATATCATAGAACTTTATTTATTTATTTTTTAAATATACACTTATTTTGAGGTTTTTTTGTCTTCATTTTTTGTAGGGGAGTGCCACCTTCTCCAAGATCTGATCATGCTGCTGCAGTTCATGCGGAGCGTTACCTTCTTATCTTTGGTGGGGGTTCACATGCTACTTGCTTCAATGATCTGCATGTCCTTGATTTGCAAGCTGTAAGATAACTTATTTGTTTTCAATGTTTGTGTTGTATAATTTGATAATTTGATTTTTATTTTGATTTATATAATATATTCTGATTGTAGATGGAATGGTCAAGACCAACACAACAGGGTGAGATACCAACTCCACGTGCTGGCCATGCGGGTGTAACAGTTGGGGAAAATTGGTTTATTGTTGGAGGTGGTGACAATAAGAGTGGTATGTATTTGAAAACTGAGCATTCATATGACACTGATCAGTGGTGGTGGATCTTTATATCTAGGCCTGTTGGAAAATGCTTAGTATAAATATCATACTTTATAAAAAATACATGGATATTCTGAATCATGAATGAATTCATGTTAGAAACCAACGCTGTTGATGGTCAGCATAAGGTTGCATGTCATTGATCACAGTGATCAGGTTCTTACAGCTATGCCCTGCACCCAACAAGAATCTGATTTTGATTTGCCAATTTAATTTTGGTTTTTGGACCTTTTCTTCTACTTCATCCGACTGTCCTTGAAAATTCATTATACACAAAGACTTTTGAAATATGCAGTTGTCTTTGGAAGATCGTACTAGTGCAGTAGGAATTTAATAATGTCAAACCTTCTAGGCCGCCCCTACGTTATATTGTAATTTCTACATTTCCTCTGGATGGTTTAAATTTTATGTTCTTGGTTCAGGCGATGTCCTATTAGCATCAAATTTTGTGAGTAAACAATCTGCTTATGAGATATCTGATGATGGAAGAAGATTGAGAGAAAGAGAGAGAAATAATTTGCATTTGAGGGGTTTGAGTCATTGCTTGAGCTGCAAAAAGTAGAATGCCATAATCATTACAGAATGTGATGTTATCTTTCTGAACCTCTGTCCATCTATAATTCTAATTGCCTCTGCACTTCATTCTTTCTAGCTCTCGTTCAAACTATAAGGGGCATCTGTGAAAGGGTTCAGAAGAAGCTTGTAGATTAGTATTGGTTATAAATCAGATATGACTGATAGAGAGGACTGTACCATATCATAATCTTCTCTTAATTAGAGTATCATCAGTATTAGAATAAAGGTCATGCATTGTTCTATACACTTGAATTCTCAATGGGATTTGAGATACTAGTTTAGATTGTATAAACTAATTCATTTGGAGAAAAATTCCATATTCATGCATATTTGGGGAATGTCAATTATTTCATGATCTAGAACTTATCAAATAACCATGACCCTGTACCTTTTAGTAGCCTTTTTGGTTTAGTGGCTCATTAATATGTGATTAGTTTTGGTACTTATCAAAAAAAAAAAAAAAATTTGTGATTAGTTTTGGCAAGTTCGATAAATTTTGAATTCTTACAATTTTATTAAAAAAAAATATTTGCTTGATGATTTTAGTTATTGTTGAAACTTGTTGATGTTTAAAATATTTCACCAGAAAAAAGGATAACAGCTGTGATTTGGTGGAATTGCTCTTTAAATGCTTTTACTTTACTCATTGTGTTGTTTGATTCCTTTCTTTTGCCTTCTTGCAGGGGTCTCTGAAACTGTTGTCCTCAACATGTCTACTCTGGTTTGGTCAGTGGTAACTATCGTTCAAGGACGTGTTCCTCTTGCTAGTGAGGTATTTTGCATTATTGGAAGATCTTTTCTTAGAACTTACTTAGAGCTGCAAGTTTCCGTAACCTATCCATTCTTTAGTACTTTAATTATGTGCACCAGTCTAACGGTAGTTACCACTGACCAAACCAGAGTAAAATAGTGTTGAATGATGAGCAAAATAGTATGTATTTTGCCTTTGTCCATCATCATTGTCATTAATTGAGCAAGGAGTGAACGCATTGTGCCGAGGAGATAAGCACTGACTTCTAGAAAAGATTCCACAAAGTGGCACCATGGGGTTATGGCTAATTTGTGGTTTTATTTTGACAAATACCGTTTATATGCATACCATTCACCAATTTCAGCTCTAGTTGACAGGGTGAACCGTGATATCAATTGCATTCATGGCTACAAGAACTTGAGGAAGAGAAGGCCAAATCCCAATGTTCTTAGTAGTACTGAGGCATTAATGATAGATAATATATCAGTGGACAGAGCGAGAGGAGGGAGAGAGACCCAAAATCTGTCTCTTTTATCAATCTTGAAATACTTATTGCTATTATAATTAATATCGGGCATGTTTCACACTACTCTATTGCTGTAAATGTTTCACTAGTTTTGCTCCTAGGTTTTAATGAGCCATTCAAAAAAAGAATCAACAGTCAAAGTCCAGTCTGATAAATCATTGATCTCTAATTGGACTGGACATGAGAAGATGTAAACTGAGCTACTTTTACATTACTTTGTAATTGAATGTTTCACTGGTTTGAGTGATTGGTTTAAAGCATACCTCCAAAGAAGAAAAAGGAACATTCTTTCTTGGAGTGATTGTTTGAGGGTTTACCTGAATTGAAGAGCAAGTCTAGTTTGATAAAACTCTGATCTACACTTGTAATATGTGAAGATCACAAGACATGAACACATCATTATCAAGATGTGGATTGTAGAGCAATTTATAGGTTATGTTTTGTTTAACAATTTTGGAATTTCTTTATTAATGAACTTGCATGATAAAGTAATATACATTTTGAGTCTATATGATTGCTTAACAATAATGGAGCAAAACCATAGCATATCTTTTACTACTATGAATTAATGATTAGCCTTATATTTTTATGTTTTGGTGTTCTTTTTTGTTTTAATTTTGAACAAGCATGGGTCACTAGTTATCATCCAGCCAAGAAAATTGTGGTATAAGGTTTAATTGATGGGCCTGAGAAGAGATTTGTCATTGTTACTGTAGAAGTGTCAAATTTATTATAAATTTGGGAAGGATGCAATGGAATATTTGGGATACAGGTTCTTTTGATTATATTATTGTACTAGAAAATTGCTATGGATTTTCAACTAGTGCAGGCTGTGTTACACATGTATGGAAATGGACAATTCATTGTCACTTATTTGAAATTAGTGTAGTAACATATTGTTAATTTCTATAGTTTGTGTTATAAAATGCTGGGTTTAGGTAGGACATGAGATGAAACCATGTTTTTCATTAGATAATACTGTTTATAGTCTTTGCATGCACAAGTTAGTGGAATCCTTGCTTCAGATTACTTTAAACTTGATTTTGTTTCTAGGCAATTTAATATAATTATCTGCAATTACAGGGCCTGAGTTTGGTTCTGAGCTCCTATAGTGGTCAAGATATTCTAATATCTTTTGGAGGATACAATGGGCGGTACAACAATGAGGTTAAGAATAATCTTCAACTACTTCTGCATGGCCTTTTCATTTCATTGTTCTTTCAATTTGATTTTGTTTTTTGCTGTCAGGTTAACGTCCTTAAACCAAGCCATAAATCAACCTTGCAATCAAAAATGATGGAGACTCCTGTGCCTGACAGTGTTTCTGCCGTGCATAATGCTACGAATGCCACAAGAGACTTGGATTCTGAGTTTGAAACCAGTCAAGGAAAAATAAGGGAAATTGTTATGGACAATGTAGATTCGGAGCCCACGGTATTGTCATTTTGCTAAACTATCAACTTGGATCTGCTGTTTTGACTTTTCCATCAAAATGGTTCCAATGCAAAATACATGCAAGCATAGATATGAATGAACTCACATTATTTTTGCTAAATAAATTTAATCTATTTTCAAATAGGCAGAATTCACTTTTTATTATGAGATTTTTGGCAGTTTGCAGTTCTCTCAGATTATACGTAATCTGGGGAGTGGTGATAAAATCATCTGGTTTTTTTGGGTGCATAAATCTTCAAATTGACAAAAATATATTAACTTGTAAACTTTTTTTTCAGTGTAAAATGAGGAATCTCGTAAGTCCAGATTTTGCGAAAAAAAAAAAAAAATTCCCAACAAATTTAGAATGTTGAATTCTTGTTTATATTTCAGCATGTTCAATTTTTTTATAAATAAATTGATTTATAATTTTCTGTTACCTATTCAAGTTTGCATTTTATTCTTGAGTTTTTAGTTATAAAAAATTTCTTGTTTCATGTTAGCTTTGGCTTCCTGACTTTTTTGACTTTCCACATCATGAAAAATTCCAAATGTTAACTTATTCCTTACTTGTCCGTCTTGCTGCCCCTTTCTACTTACGTTTGAAAGTACCATGCAGAGAAACCAAAACAAAAACAGCAGTGAAAATGTTATAGCAACCCTTAAGGCAGAGAAAGAAGAATTAGAATCATCACTTAGCAAGGAGAATATGCAGTCTCTCCAGCTAAAGGAAGAACTATCAGAAGCCGAGACTCGAAACAGAGAACTGTACAAGGTAACCGTTTTTAGGTATTTGATTGAGAAATTGTTTGGGAGGTGAATGCATTGAGGTTATTTTCACTATGGCTAGTTTCTAAAAATATAAAAAAAGAAAAAAATGAAGCATAACCTTCCATTTAATTTTATGTGAACAGAGTTGTACCAAGACAATTGGACATTTAATAAATGAAGCAGTTGGTTGTTGCAACTTAAACCCATAAAACTGAGTTTAGAGATGTTGTAGAACATAATTCCTGCACTAGTTTGCTTAGAATAAATGAATTTAAGTCCTCATATTTGATGACATTAATTTTACCGATATCTGAGGTAAATTTATCATCTTTCCTTCATACCTGTAAAATTAAATTAGTAATAAAAGTACTTCAAGAAATATTGTTAGCAAACAAATTAAAAATACTATTATTATGAAAAGTACTTTAAAGAATGCCATTACAGCCTAACATGATTTTTAACAAACAACAGTAGTCTTAATACAGCTTTGGTGATAAAACTGCCTTTTCTGTAATAATGGCAATGCCTAACAGACCCTTAGTAAGTAAACATATAGTAATAAAAAATATTTACATATATGTAGGACATCATAATATATTATATTTTACTGATTTGATCACGTTTTATTATCAATAAAGCACTTGCCATATTTCAACCTTTTAATTCTTCTTCGTACTTCTCCAAAATTTGCATACCTTCTCAACATCCTTTCTCAAAAAAGTGATCCTAGTATCATGGTTAGAAGGGAGTTTGAAATCCTTACTTATTACTCCTAGAAAAGAAAGTGAATTTATTGAAATTAAAATCGAATGCAAGGCGCAGAGTAATCTACAATTTTTTTTTTTTGAATAACTAGTTCTTTTTCTTTTTCTTTTTTAAAACCTTTCCGAATTTTGGTTTTCCTTTTTTAAAATCCATAGTTCCATTCTGCACAACACTTGATCTGCTTCAAAGCAATCCACGTAATGACAGCACTCCCATTCTTTTCATCTGAATGACACTAAAGGAAGGGAAAATGAGGTTTTTTTTTTTTTTTGGGGGGGGGGGGGGGGGGGGGGGTGGTGGAGGAGTTATCACAATAGTTGGATTTTAAATGTATTCTAGCATTAGCTGCATTACCATTATTGTTGATATTTGAGATCACTACTTCACTTTTCTTTTTGCTCAGAAACCATTTCGTTAATTAAAGGAAAAAGTCCAAGATTCCCGATTCTAGATATAATACTTACCTCAATGTTCAACCACAAAGTCTGGATATATCTCCTTTTGCGGCTAGGATTATACATATATTTATTAAATGTATATATATATTGGTATATTTTGCAAGTAGGAATATGTGGAAGGGAAAAAACAATTCCGATTTAGATCTTTGTAAAAAGAGAAAATATTCTCTCTTGAAAAGTATAGAACAGTGTCATTTAACTATAAAAGCTCTAAAAGCTTTAGAAATTATATTTTTGAATAAAAAGGATCTCTCTCTCTCTCGGTCTATAATATGGAATTTGTCCAAGCAATCCATATATATATATATATATATGTAATTTTTTTTTTTCTTGTCAAGCAATCCATATTGAAGATGAACAGGATTGAATCAATTTTTTCTTATAAAAAAAGAAAAATTGTTGTATTCTAGCATTAGCTGCATTACCATTATTGTTGATATTTGAGATCACTACTTCACTTTCCTTTTTGCTTAGAAACCATTTCGTTAATTAAAGGAAAAAGTCCAAGATTCCCGAGTCTAGATATAATACATACCTCAATGTTCAACCACAAAGTCTGGATATAATATCCTCAATGTTCAACCACAAAGTCTGGATATAATATCTCCTTTTGCGACTAGGAATATACATATATTTATTAAATGTATATATATATTGGTATATTTTGCAAGTAGGAATATGTGGAAGGGAAAAAACAATTCCGATTTAGATCTTTGTAAAAAGAGAAAATATTCTCTATTGAAAAGTATAGAACAGTATCATTTAACTATAAAAGCTCTAAAGGCTTTAGAAATTATCATTTGACTATAAAAGCTCTAAAAGCTTTAGAAATTATATTTTTGAATAAAAAGGATCTCTCTCTCTCTCTCTATAATATGGAATTTGTCCAAGCAATCCATATATATATATGTGTGTGTGTTTTTTTTTTTCCTGTCAAGCAATCCATATTGATGATGAACAGGATTGAATCAAAATTTTCTTATAAAAAAAGAAAAATTGTTATATTATAACAACTATGGTTTTAAGAAGGCGTCTGGTCCAGTCCAGATGCTTGATTCTCAGTTGGCCAGTCAACTTCCTGTTTTGGTTATATTTCTCACTTTGGATATTTGGTTATCTTGTAGTATACACTGAATTAACCCTCTTGCGTGCAGAAAAATGACCTCCTTTTTCAGTCGAATTTCATTTAAATAAACTGAATTAATATTGCAGGAGCTCCAATCTGTACGTGGTCAACTTGCTGCTGAGCAGTCGAGATGTTTCAAACTTGAGGTACCTGCTCATCATATTAGGCTTTTCTTTGTTGATTCTCAGCTATGGATATAGTAGGAAATCTTTTCCTGTCACAATAGGCTATCATTTTTTTTTTTTTTTTTGATAAGTAAGAATTTTATAAAAAAGCGCTCAAAGGGGAGCGAAACCCAAGGAAACAAGATGAAAAAACCAAAAAGAGCCTCAAGCCTTCAAAGAGGCCAAAAAAATAACAATCTCCTCAACAGAACGATAATCTCTCCCTGAGACCCAACAAAAGAGAGTAGAAATAATAAAAAACTTAAGCATAGAAATGGGTTTCTCCTTGCCATCGAAGTATCTTCGATTCCTCTCGAGCCAAATGCACCAAAAAACACAGAGAGGGGTAGCTCTCCAAGCATCCCGGATGAGCGCCCCAACAGAGATACCTTTCCAAGCCTCAATCAACCCTCTAGAGGAACAGGGCATAACCCAGGGAACCCCAAACAACCCAATCATCAAATCCCAACAATCTCTGGCCATACTGCAATGCAACAGAAGGTGATCCATTGTCTCCTCATCGCAACGACACAAGTAACAGCGATTGATAACCACCTGCATTCTCCTCCTCAAATTATCCTGGGTTAAAATCCTACCCAAGACAGACGTCCAAGCAAAAAAAGCCACCTTAAGGGGAGCCTTGGAACGCCAAATAGCCTTCCAAGGGAAAGTGCCATCCTCCCCATCAGAAAGGCACCTGAAAAAGGATCTCACCTCGAAACGACCCTGAGAGTGTGGACTCCAAAGCCAACAATCAGCCTCCTCATGAGAGATCACCTGACGATACAGTAACTCCAAAAAACGAGTGACCTCCTCAATTTCCCAATCTTGAAAATGCCTCCTAAACTAAACGTCCCAAGTTAGTCTTCCGTTATCAAGGTGATAACAGTCAACCACCAAGGCCTTCCTGTCAGAAGCAATCCTGTAAAGCCGAGGGAAAGAAAGAGCAAGGGGAAGATCCCCACACCAAAGGTCCTCCCAAAATCTGATCCTCCTACTATCCCTGATCCTAAAGCGAACATGATTACGAAAAATGTCCCATCCCTTTCGAATGCAAGTCCAAACCCCCACACCCTTAGGACCACGCCCCTCAAGAGAACACCACCCACCACTGATTTCCCCAAACTTGCTGGCAATAACTTTCTTCCAAAGCCAAAGTCTCTCAACCCCAAATCTTCAAAGCCATTTCCCAAGAAGAGCCCTATTGAAAGGCGGCAACTTCGAATCCCTAATCCTCCACTCCGAAGGGGACGACACACTTGCTCCCATCGAACCAGATGATATTTGAACTCCTCTCCTTTCCCTCCCCAAAGAAAATTCCGCTGCAAACTCTCAATTCTCTCCGCCACCGAAGAAGGAATCTGAAAAAGAGAGATAAAATAGGTGGGAAGGCAAGAGAGAGTGCTCTTGATCAGAGTGACCCGCCCTCCTTTGGAAAGGTACTGCTTCTTCCATTCTGCCAGCCTCTTCTCAAATCTATTCACCACCGGATCCTAACTCCCCACACATCTCGAAGGAGCACCCAGAGGACCTAAATAAGAAATAGGAAATGAGCCAGTGCCACAGCCGAGGATCTGAGCAAACATCTCCATATCAGGAACACCCCCGACCGGCACTAAAACACTCTTTCCAACATTCACTTCAAGCCCAGAGACGACTTGGAACCAAATCAAAACACATCTCAAATGTCTTAGCTGGGACGCATCAGCATCACAAAGAACCAAGGTATCATCAGCAAACATCAAGTGAGAAATCTCTAACTGACTAACGACATCTTTACCCACCCGAAAGCCTCTCAACAATCGCAGATCAACAACCTTTTTCAACAACCTACTAATAGCCTCCATCACAAAAAGAAAAAAGAAAGGAGAAAGTGGATCTCACTGTCTCAAGCCCCTCAAACTAGAGAAAAACCCCGTCGGAGCTCCATTCACAAGGACAGAAAAACGGGCACTAGAGATACAAAATAGAATCCATCTCCTCCAACGCTCCCCGAACCCCATCCTCTCCATCAAGTAGATGAGGAAACTCCAACACACATGGTCGTAAGCATTCTCAATGTCCAACTTACACAAAACACCCGGAACCCCACTACTCAACCTGGAGTCCACACATTCACTAGTAATAAGAACCGAATCCAAAATCTGACGACCTCCCACAAAAGCATTTTGAGAATCAGAAATGACGCCATCCAGAACATTCCTCAGCCTAGAGGCTAAGACTTTGGCAAGCATCTTGTAAAAACAACCCACCAAACAAATAGGACGAAAATCCCTGACATCCAGCGCTCCTCCCTTTTTCGGAACAAGGGCAATGAAAGTGGCATTCAAGCTCTTTTCAAAAGAGCCATGAGTATGGAAAGCATGAAAAGAGCCCATCACATCATCTCGGACCACTTCCCAACACTCCAAAAGAAAACGCAAAGAAAAGCCATCTGGACCTGGGGCTTTATCCCCATTACAGCTCTTCAAAGCAGACAAAACTTCCTCTTCAGAGAAAGGAACCTCCAAAAGAGAACAATCCTCATCCGAAATAGAGTCAAAATGAAGCCCAGCCAGTAAAGGTCTCCACTCAACCGGTTCGGAGCCCATCACAATAGGCTATCTTAATGATTTGGTAAATAACCACATCTTCTCTTTGGGACTATTATTGTTATTATTATTATTTTTAATCTGTGGCATGCTTTAAAATGGAAGTATGGAAATTCATAGTAGCATGTTCCGTTGATTGATTTGAAGTTTTTGTTTCCTCATCCTCCCAACCAAATGGAAAGTGGAAGTTAATTTTTTACTCTTTATTAGTTTTTTTTTTCCCTTTTCTTGTAGGTGTTTGGGGTGGTGGGTGTGGTCTGAGATGTTCATTCTCATTCATTTATGCAACATAATGTCAATTTGTGCACCTATCCCTACCCCGCCATTTTTGGTGTCCTTAAAGAAAATTAATTTTTTTGGATATAAATATTGAAAATTGGCTTACTAGCTCAACGGATATATTACCTCAGCCAAAAACTTCTATGATTAATTAAAGAAGGAAAAGTTGACCAACTTGATTGTGTTTGTGTATGTGCTTTATCTATATGTACAAAAGAGAAATTCAGGCTGCATAAAGTCAAGCTGTGAATTTGGTAAAATCCCATTAAGTTGAACAAATGATTATATTATGTCATCAAGCACTTTGACCTTGTAGGCTTGTAGTTGTACTTGAAATACTGTTCAACTTAATTTTGTTTTATTCCATGACGCAATCGCCCTCCCCCCCTTGCTGTTAACTTGTGTTTACAAGATTTATCTGTGTTATTTTTAACTTCCTAGCTTTTTCTAGTATCTTCTTATGGTTGTTTACGTGGTTGTGATTGTTTTTTATTCTCTGGTTTTTGTGTGGAGGCCTATCTCCACTTTTTTTTCTGTACCATATTTGTATCAGTTTTATACTTCTTAATACAAATCCCATTTAAGGGAAAAAAAAAAAAAAAAAAAAAAAAAATTCCCCCTTACCCTCCCAGCCACCCAAAAAGTAAAGATGAATAAACCACAGGAAAAAAAAAACCAGAGAATAAAAAACAATGGACTCAGCTTCTCCAGTATTAGCTCTTCTATTCTTGATGCATTATGTGGTTTAAGTAATGGATTGTGATTTGGTCTAATCTGTGTAATTCTTTTTTCGGTTTTGGTGTGTGGAGGGTTGGAGGGAGGAGAATGTGTATCTAAGAAAAGAAACTAGCCTCGTATATATGCTGAACTGGAAAGGAATCAATCTAGTTTGCTAATTGCTCTTTGAACCGACAGGTTGATGTTGCAGAGCTACGACAGAAGCTACAGATGATGGAAACCTTACAAAAAGAACTCGAACTCCTCCAGCGACAAAAGGCCGCTTCCGAACAAGCTGCCATGAATGCAAAACAAAAACAGGGCTCAGGTGGTATGTGGGGTTGGCTTGCTGGAACCCCTCCCGACCAAAAAACCGATGACGCCTGAGAAATCACAAACCGAAATACATAGTGATTGCTAGAGTTTGGTCTCATTGATCCATTTTTTCCTTAATTTTTTTTTTTAACCCAGTTTTTTAAGAGATGGAAATAAGATATATCTGAGTTCTGTTGGCCTGAAGTATCCTATTGGGTTTCTGGTTGTATACATGAAATTTCAGCTATGTAATTGCATGAGGCTGTCATTCTATAGTTTGCCTTTTACAGTTTTTATTTGGAGTTTGTATTTGAATTTTGAAGTTAAGAAATTATTTTGAGGTGGAAGTATAGAATTTCAGTATTTTCCTTCAATGTTCTTTGCCTTTTTTTTTTTTTTTGTGAGACAGTAAATATGATTCGAGAATAATAATGTAAACAAATGTAATTTGGATGAATTTGCAAAGATCTGTTATATGTTAGTCCTACAAATCTTTTAAATAAAAATAATAATAGAAATATTAAGAATAAGGAAATGAATGCGTATAAAACTTGCAAAAAATCTAAAAGTTGCAAGCAAGATAAATGATTAGATGGAAATAGTAAGCAGAGGGGGGAAATGGAAAATTTGTGAGTTGTCTGGATATACAAATTTTTTTAAAATTTTTTTTGGTGTTTGAGAAAAGAAAATATTAAAACTTAACAAAAATAACTTATCCATCATTTTTGGACAAGTTATTTTACATGTTCTACCTGATGGATTCGACCTTGATCCATTGCTTTGCCAAATACTGAAAAAGCAAAATTAGAGAAAACATTTTACCTGAAAAAGAAAATCTTTTCTGATGAAAATATTTTATGTCGAAACAAAAAGAAAATTTTGAACGAAAAATTATTTTCCTAACCATCTAACTTTCTCATAAAATGTTCCTACAAAGGAAAAAAAATAGAAGAAAATATTGATTTGTTAATAAATTTTATTCACTTGCAATAATGCTCTTTCTTTGATGATAATTGACAAGTTTAATGCTATTCAAAATATAAAATGGTAAATTTTTGATAATATTTTTTGAACCTTTTTCGATACTCATACTCAATTACATCATGAAAAAATTTTTCATCTAACCAAACCGGTCAAAAGGAAACTAAGAATTTTACTTGAATGTAAATATCTCCCCCCATTTAAAATAATGATATATTAAAAAATTTTCATTTAACCAAATCTAAAAAAATGAGGTAATAATTTAACTCTTTCTTCCGCTTCAAATTCAAATTATACGTTACATTCCAACTTTTTTTGTATGTTATTTTTTGTGACTTGATAATCCAACTCAGATAATACCCCAAACCCTAACTCTAGAATCGATGGAGATTAAGAAGAATCCATAGAGATTATTCACGTTGTAAGCTGCATCTCTAGCTAGAAACTTATGTCAGTGAACTTGTGTTGTGTTTGTAATGAAGTTTGGTTGAGCTTTGGTTGGTTAGAGGAGATCTGTTTTATCCTTCAATTTTGAAAAATGGAAGAGAGAAAGGGACGATCGGGATCAGAGATGAAGGGATGACGTGGCAGCCACGTTGGATTCTGAGTAAAATCGGTTATTTTAGTCGGACTGAGTATCATTTATCGTCTTGGAGTCATTATTGTCTGTCTGATCTATACAAGCCTAGGCTATGCCCTGCTCCGTTAATTTTGATCAAACTGTTTGAGCTTTGAAAATGGCAGCTTCATCCTGTGTTTACGATGTGTTCTTGTCTTTCAGCGGTGTTGATACTCGCAACAATTTTACGGCTCACCTCTTGGCTGCTTTGAATCGCCATAATTTTTACACTTTCAGAGATGACGCTAAACTCAAAAGAGGAGAAGAAATTGGTCATGGATTACTCAAAGCAATCGAGCAATCTAGGGTTTCTGTTATCGTATTCTCGCAAAACTACGCGTCCTCAAGATGGTGCCTTGAAGAGCTTGTGAAGATCATGGATTGCAAGAGCACACTCAATCAGATTGTTATTCCCATCTTCTATGATGTCCAACCCTCCGATGTTCGATCACAGAGGGGTTGTTATGCAGAAGCATTTGGGAGTCATGAAAAGCAGTTTGACTTGGAATCGGTGACGAAATGGAGGTCTGTTCTGGCTGAGGCTGCCAATTTGTCCGGTTACGTCCTGCAAAATGAGGCCAATGGGTACTAAATTCTCTTCATTCTCTTCATAAAAGCAATCTAAAACATTACCAGTTTCATCACTTATTTATTTTGATGTAAAAATTGCTTAGTTTCATTTTTTTGAAATTTTTTTTTTCGCTAAATGGTTTAATTTTTTTAAAAAATAATAATAAAATTGGGCAGGTGTGAGTCGACCTTTATTGAAACTGTTGTTGGAGGAGTTGCAGATAAATTAAATCCAACGGTTTTAAGTGTTGCGGAGTACCCAGTTGGAATACAACATCGTGTTCAACGACTGAGTGAGTTTCTACAGTTGGGGTCAAAAAGTGATGATGTTAGGATAGTTGTCATATTGGGGATTGGTGGGATAGGGAAGACTACAATTGCTAAAGCGATGTATAATCGCATACATCGTTTTCATCAGTTTGAAAGCAGTAGCTTTCTTGATGATGTTGGACGAACTTCAATGGAAATCAATGGCCTTGTTAAATTACAAAAAAAGCTTCTTTCCGATCTCCTAATGGATGGAAATCAGAAAATAAGAAGTGAGGATCACGGAATTGAGGTGATAAAAAGGCAAGCATGGTGTCGAAGGGTTCTTCTTGTTCTCGATGATGTGGATAACATGCGCCAATTTAAGGCATTAGCCATAAATCGTGATTTGCTACGTCCTGCAAGTAGAATCATAGTAACAACTAGAGATTTGTCTTCAGTAAGTTCGCTTCGAGTGGATGAGGTGTATAGGCTTGATGAGCTGAATAAGGAGGAATCTCTTCAACTCTTTAGTTGGCATGCCTTTACAAGCGACCATCCTAAAGAAGACTTCGAGATCCTCTCTCAGGAAGTTGTGAGTTATGCTAAGGGGTTTCCTTTAGTTCTTGAAATTTTAGGTTCCCTATTGTTGGACAGAACCATACCCGAATGGATAAGTCAATTGAACAAGTTGAAAAAGATTCCTCATAAGGATGTTCAAGGGAAACTTAGGTTGAGCTTCGATTCACTTGATGATAAACAGAAGGGTTTATTCCTAGATATTGCATGTTTTTTTGTTGGAATGGACCAGGATTTGGCAATCAATATACTAAAAGGTTGCGATTTCTACCCAGAATCTGATATTGGGGTTCTATCTCGTCGTTGTCTTGTAAGCATTGATGGGCATAACCGTCTGATGATGCATGATCTGATTCAAGACATGGCTAGAGAGATTGTCCGCCAAGAATCTCCTGAAGAGCCAGGCAAACGTAGTAGATTATGGTATCATGAAGATGTTCTCAATGTACTGAGAAATAACATGGTAAGAGCCCAATACCTGAATTAATTATACATCTTGTCACTGTAAAAATGTCGTAGAACACAACACATCATGAAAGTCACAATCTAGGGTGTGAACCTATTTTCAACACAATGTCACACACAGGCTCGCGCACACGCGCGCACACATATTCATATGCTCATATCTACAATTACTATCATCAGGGGACAAAAGCAGTTCAAGGTTTAGTCCTGAACTGGCCTGAATCAAAGGAACTACAATTAAATTGGAATCGTTTACAACTAAATTGGAAGGCATTTACAAAGATGGAGGGTTTGAGACTCCTAAAACTCGATTTTGTCCATCTAAGTGGAAGCTACAAATATCTCTCTGGAAGACTTGTGTGGCTATCTTGGAAAGGATTTTCTTTAAAATGTCTACCATCAACCTTAATTATGGATAATCTGGTTGCCATTGACTTGAGCTATAGCAACCTTAAACAAGTTTGGAGAGGAAGAAAGGTATGAGACTATTACTTCAAATTCAATTATATATAATGACATGCATAGAAATTTACTGTCTCTTTATGGTCCGTGACAGGTTCTGTATAAATTGAAATACCTCAATCTCAGTCATTCATATTTCTTGATCGAAACTCCAGACTTCACGGGGTTCACCAGTCTTCAGAAATTGTTGCTTAATGATTGTACAAAGCTGGTAGATGTTCACCAATCTATTGGGTGTCTGAAAAATCTTGTTCTCTTGGATCTGAAGAATTGTCAGAATCTTCAGAAGATTCCCACGAGCATTTTCATGTTGGAATCTCTCCTTTATTTCAACCTGTTAGGCTGCTCCAAATTAGAGTGGCCAGCATACTTTCAAGGATTGCAACCTGAATCAAGCTTTTCGTCGTTACAGTTATCAAGTAGCATTCGGAAATTATATATGGAAGACTGCAATTTAACATTTGTTCCTAGCGAAATTGGTAGTTTGGTGTCCTTGCAATTTTTGAATCTTAGTGGAAACAAATTTTCCAACATACCAGCTACCATCACTAGTCTTCTGCGACTGAAAGCCCTCTATGTGAACCAATGTTCTCGGCTTGAATCGATTCCGGCACTTCCAGTAAATTTATTAGGATTGAGTGCAAATTACTGCACATCATTGCGGAGCATATCAATGGAATCAAAAGTAGCAAAAGCACCATTCATGACTTTTTACGGTTGTCCCAAATTACTCAACAACAATTTTGCATATAATTTTAGAAGAAAGCTCCTCCGTTGTCATCAGGTACGCTAACTCTGTCTACATCATGGCAAAGCATATCAATGGAATTTTGTTATTCAAACGTGCAGCAGTGCTACCTACCGCCTTTATATAAGCCCAAGACCCTTCCCCTCCAGAACCAATATTGGGACTAGAACCGACAACTCCAACCCATTAGCCCAACTAGTATAACATCTCCTCCCTTAAAGTGGGTAGGTGAGGTATTTGAGTTTCTGCAACAGGCATTTGTGCATGCGTGTGAGTATTTACCTAAAGAAAAGAAACAAGGCCTTATTTTAAATGACAAATGTTCGAGTTTTGATGACAAAAATTTAGCAATCAAAAAGTAGCATTTTGATTTCATAGGTCACTTGCATTGATCAATACACTTACATGATTAATCAAACTGCGCTGCTGCAGGGACTGCCAGAACAAGGTGAGTTGAATATTTTTCTTCCCGGGACTGAGATTCCGAGGTGGTGCAACTACCAAAGTGAGGGACGCATTTTACGTTTTCGGGTGCCTCAGCTGGTGGGTCGGATAGCACAAGGGTTTATTCTCTTTGTTGTTTTTTCTAGCCGGGGCTTCAATCAAGATTGTGACAATTTAGCTATTTGCTATGACGTTTTTAATATAACCAAGATGTCTAGGGGATCAATGAATCAACCAAGAGTTGATTTCTATCCTGTAAGTTTTGAAGATCAGACGTGGCTCTCCTACGTACCAAACCGGTGCCTTGAATCTAAGTGTCGGCTGGACAGCGGAGATGAAGTAGAGATGGTAATATTTATAAACCACCTTTGGCGGGTGAACAAGTGTGGGGTTAGTCTGGTTTGCGAGGGTGATGACAAGGATCCCGACTCATATGATGCCACAGATCACTCAATGACAATTGCCTCGGATATTCCTCCAGTTGATGGATGTGTGCCTGTGGCACAGTCGGTAACGGATTATGAATTTCTTCGTGAGATTGGTAAATATGAATTGCTAGAGTAATAAACAATGTGTAGTGATACTTCCTCACATTATAAAGTGGAAGGTCGAGAGACAAGTGTGTGCTTGTGTGTATTATTTGTCAGAGGAAAAAAAAGGTATGAATTGATTTGAGAGGAATTATATGTGAGAATTTTAAATAACAAGTGGTAAATAATATATGTTTGTAAGAATTTTAGTTGTACAAAGAAATGTCATTTAATTTGGGAGGTGAAGGATTGAAGTCTCTCTTAAAGTACTCTGGGGCTCGTGTGTTAGGAAAAAGAAAATTTGGAATTTCAAAACCAACTTAAATAGCCAAGTATCCAATTCTTCTCTCCAAACAACTATGGATTAATCAGGTTATAATTTAAAATGAGGTATTAAAATTAAGAAGTTGTTTGCATAATTTCTAGCTCTTTTGTGCGAGTCTTTTATCTAGACTCAAGTGTAGTGACCTGAATAATGTTCTTAAACTTATATTGCTCTGATGGATCGTAAAAATAGTCCAGAAAGTGTCTTCTGTTGGCTACTACTATTAAAAGTGTAAGCAGTTATTTATTTATTTATTTTTATTATATGTGTATATACACATTTTTATACAACTTCGTATACCATTGTATTGAAATTAATTATTAAACTCCAGCTCGGCCTCTTCAGAACTTTTTAGAACAATTACTCTTGCATCCCTTGGATATTCCCACTTCCTGCAATTTCCAATCCCATAATAGAATCAGAGGAGAACAAAGATTGAAAAACTCTTGGTTCTGTTTGCTTGGCTTCCAATCCAATTCACCTGTCTTTGAATTTTCAGGCTAGTAGCTTCAACCAACGGACAAATTCTGAAAAACAGGTTATATTTATCTTTTTATGGTGTTTTAATAGGTTTAATCTGATTAACTGTTTACGAGATATAGGTTTTCGAAGGAATCGAGTGAGGAGGAAAGAAACCATGCTGAGAAATTGATGGAGTATCAGGTGTTTGACAAGTTGCATCTACGGTCAATCTTGTTGATTTTCTTCATTTTGTTTTACAAACTGAAGTACTTTGTTCTATAATGGATTTGGTCCTAAATACTTGTTCAATGAATTTCAGAACAAATGGGGTGGGAAAATAAATCTGCAATCTATTCTTATGCTACTATTTGAGTTTGATCAGTCTGAGAAAGGAGATGCGCTGTATGGTGAGTTTGGCGGGCTTCTATCTTTAATGCAAGACAATGTAAAGCATGACTTTGCTGTTACAGTTTTTATATATAAAGGCTTTTTAAACAAGTTGCTCTGTTCATGACATGTTAGATAACTGTATCTATTTTGGTCATTTACTTGGGAACAGAGGTGGCCAATGGAGCAAACTATCCAACACCAGAGCACTACTCAAATCTGGATGCTTAATCCGTGCGCTATCCATGTTCTGGTCTGCAGACAGCCGATATTCGGGTCAGCAGACCGTGAATGGCTAAAGCTTCAATTATTCCCCAACTCTCTGCCTGTTATATCATTTTATGGTCTCAGGTACCGTACTTCCTTGCCCGCTAGTGGAGCTGATATCCAAATCCAAGAAACAGACCTCCTAGGGTAGTTTGGCCAACGACCGCTCCATCAATATTTGAACCAATTGCCGGCCATCAGTGGCCTTCTCTATCGAAGGGACCTCCAAAGGAGCCTCTTGTTGAGAAACCTCCCATGTCTCTACCTGCTGAGTTTCAATACATAGGCTTGAGTTGACTATTCTAAACACAAATATCAACTCTGAAGAGAATGCTTACCAAAGTTGCTTCCGTTATAAAGGCTTTTTAAACAAGTTACTCTGTTCATGACATGTTAAATAACTGTATGTGTTTTAGTTAGCACTGATTGTAATTAATTTGTTGACTTAACAATGGAACTTATGGAGAAGCCAACTAATGAAAAACTTGTGGTAACTTTTGATCAAAAGTTATATATATATATCTCTTTTGATCCTCACACCCATTTAATGGTTTTTTTTCGCTCGTCGTGAAACCAATTTCCCTCCTCTCTCTCTCACGCCAATTTTGACTGTCTAGCGCCTAGACCGCTCGCCACTTTCACTCTCTCTCCAAAATCCGAACAAATTTTTAGCATCTCTCTCTACCTTTCCTCCTCCTCCTCTCTCCCTCTCTCTATATATATATGTATATGCTTCTTTTTTTGCCCTAAATTTATCACCATAACTACACTAATCGATATCAACTGTCAACAGCTAACCAACGTCCTTAACAGTGTATCTATTCAAGAGCAGGTGTTCGTTTCTTGTTTGATCTTTGTTTAAGTTTTCATTGTTCCAAGGAGAGAATCATGTTTGGTTACTGAGAGACTTGAGGAAAATGAAAAACAACAGAAAGTACTGCGATCCTATTTTTCTTATTGCCTTGATTTACAATACCTTGATATTTTGTTACTTTAAGAGAAGAACACTTCAATTAAGCTCCAACTAGTAGAGTTTTAAATCAAAATTGGATTTTGAAGGTCGTTTTTTTTTTTTTTTCCTTTTTGTTTATATATTTTCTTAGCAACGTAATGAAGTGTAATATTCCTGTCGTTTGATTGGATTTGTTAACTCACATATAGTTGTGCTTTGAGAATTGAAGCTCCAATAAGGGCGAACATCTGTCCTCACTTGTACATCTCTCTACCGTTCATATGTCTAATGCCAAAACTCACAGCTAACTTATCTATATTTGTAATTATGCTATATAGATATTGCACTTGGGCTTCTTGGCTTTTCTAAAGCTAGGGCTTGGTTCTTAGGAAGAGAACAAGCGAGCTGCATCAGTGTAAGCTCTCATCTCTATGTCTCAGTGTCTACATGTGCTTGATTAATTTTTGCTAGGTTTTCTTAAATACTGAAATTAATTGATTTGATCTCTCGGTGGACATGGTCATTCCTCCCTCTCTCTCTTATCTCTCTCAAATGGTTGTGCATCCAATGAAATATTTCTTTCACAACATAGGTAGCTATATACGGTTGAGCTTCTCTTTCTTTTCTATTCATTGTTTTCTTTACTTCGGTTGAAATTTCTATGGATATGAATTTTTTATTTACAAGGTTTGTATGTGTGTCTGTGTGCACGCATGCTTTCATTCAAAATCTAGTGCTTTGAAGTTTTTTTGGTTGACTGACAGAATTCAAATTGCTTCTGTTTTCATAATCTCCAATTTTTTGGATTGTAATTGTAGTTTCCGTTTGAATTCTGGAGTGAAAAAAAGAATAAAAGATTTAAAATTAAAAAGCTGAATGAGCAGAAACTTCCTATTAACAGAATGACACAATTTTCCCTTGTTTATGTTTTTGTTCGGGAAGTAAAAAATAGAGTAAGATTTCAGGTGCCATGAGAATAATTTGGTTGCTAATGTTTTTGTTCTGTTAAGAAAGTTAAACAATAGAGTAATATTTATCATTAATAATTTGGAAGTGTTTTTGGAAAGCAGAAGGCTGATGATCCAATGGCATGTGAGCAAATGTAAGAGAAATCTGATGGGATGTTTAACCTTGTCCCTGCCAATCTGATCGGTGTTTATTTGAGAGATACATGTATTGGCATGAGTAGTCTTACTTATCAAAAAGTATTGGTACGTGTAGTCTTCTAATTTTCTTTAATCTTCTAGATTTCCCAGTTTAAATCAGCATTCTTGTTAGAAGTGTTTCTCCCCCATGTTTTCTTGTTTGAACCGTCAAATATTTTCTAAATTTAAACATTTGACCTAAAAGAATTTCAGACATTTATGATCACTCAAAGCTGTTTACACATATCGGAATTTTGTCAAACCAGAAATCTAATATTGTGTCATCTACTTCTCTTTCTTTTCAGAGGTGCTTCTATATGTTGGCAAAGATATCTTTTGCAAATTGGCTAAATATATTTATTGTTAACCTTTCACTTGATTAATAACTCTAAGGCAAAGGTGTGGTTTTTCCAATTCAACCAAATGCATGATCAGAGCAAAAGTTCCCTCTCCTTATGCTAGCTTACGATTGTATGTAGATGTGATTGCTTGATGCTTTATTCCAAGGTAAGATTTGCGTTTTTATAAGTGAACTTCATCTCATCTTGATTAAATATTTTTTAAATGCAGAACATTTAGATTTCCTGTTACTTTCTACCTATTGAACTGCTATTCATATTAACTTAAAGTTTACATAAACAAATAATAAATTTGAGTAATACTTTAATGCTTATTGTAGAAAATCTTTTCCTGTCACGAAAGACTATTTTGATGATCTGGTATATAACCACCATCTTCTTTGTCGGGACTATTTTTTATTCTGTGGCATGCTTAAGAATGGGAGTATGGAAATTCATAGAAGCATGTTCCATTGTTTGATTTGAAGTTTTTCTTTCCTCCATTGAATGTGTGTGTCTGTATATTTACCTATATGTATAAAAGAGATATTCAAGCTGCATAAAGTCAAGCTGTGAAGGGTAAAATTCAATTATGTTGAACAAATGATCATATTATGTCATCAAGCTTTTGATCCCTGTAGGCCTGTAGTTATACTCGTTTCAAATTAAGGGAAAGAAAAAAAATACTGTACAACTTATTTTTGTTTTATTCCCGAATGCAAATTTTCTCCCCCCTCCCCCACCCACCTAAAAAGAAAAGAAAAAATTAATAATAATAATAAAGGGGGAAAAAACAAAAACAAAAACAAAAGAAGGACTAAACCTCCTACATATTATGCATTATGAGATTTAAGCAAAAGTAATGGATTGTGGTTTAGACTAACGTCTGTGTAAAGCTTTTTTCATTTTGGTGTGTGTGTGTGGAGGGTAAGAGAGAGGACAATGTATATCTAAGAAAACCAACTAGCCTTAGATATTTGCTGAACTGGAAAGGAATCTAGTTTGCTAATTGCTTTTTGAACCGACAGATTGATGTTGCAGAGCTACGACAGAAGCTACAGATAGTGGAGACCTTACAAAAAGAACTTGGAACTCCTCCAGCGACAAAAGGCGGCTTCCGAACAAGCTGCCATGAATGCAAAACAAAAACAGAGCTCAGGCGGTATGTGGGGTTGGCTTGCTGGAATCCCTGCCAACCAAAAAATCCGATGACGCCTGAGAAATCACAAATCAAAATACATAGTGATTGCTAGAATTTGGTCTCATTAATTCATTTTTTCCTTAATTTTTTTTTTACCCACTTTTTTTCACAGATGGAAATAAGATTATCTGAGTTCTGTTTGGCCTGAAGGGAACCTATTGGGTTTCTGGTTATACATGAAACTTCAGCTATGTAATTGAATGAGGCTGTCAGTCCTGTAATTTGCCCGTTACAGTTTTTATTTGGAGTTTGTATTTGAATTTTGAAGTGGAAATTATTTTGACGTGGAAGTATAATAGTTTTTTCAAGTTCTTCAATGTTCTTTGCTTTGTTGTTGTTTTTCATTGCTGTGTTTTTTTGTCTGTATGATTCGAGAATAATAATGTAACCAGATGGGATTGGATGAATTTGAAAAGATCTGTTGCATGTTAAAAATAATAAGAAGAAAAGAAATATTAAGAATAACATATAAATCTGCACAAGATAAATGATTAGTTCTTCTCGGCTTGAAAGTAAATGGAAAATTTGTGAACATTGAAAACAAAAATTTTGACATTATTTTCTCACCAAAATAAATAAATAAATAATAATGTCAATAAAGCTCCTTTTATGATAGTAACTAATTTGAATTGACATTCAAAATCCTCAAACTTTCGGCCAGGGGAACATCCTTGAGTGACTGAAAGCTTGAGACAAAAGTAACTGCTATTTTCCCTAATCCAAATCCAATCCCATTAACCCTGAGCCTAGTAAAATTCCTTCCTTTCGGATTATAAGAAACTAGAGTACAACATTACTTGATATCAAGATCTCTCCATCGTTCCAAATCAGGGGCGGAGCTCCAACCTACTATATATAGGTATATATTTTTGGTATATATATATACTTACATGGTAACTCTAAATAGTGCCCCCTCAAAATTTTAAATTCTTTTAATTTCCTTTAAAAAAAAAAAAAAAAAAAAAAACATATATCCTTTCTTCAAGTATACAATATATTTTTCCTTTTCTAACCTTTGTTTCCTTTTTCAAAAAATTTCTTTTTTCACTTATGTATAATTATGTATTTTTTTATTTTTTTAAACTTATTTCTTGTTATCGATGACATTTGTGATTGTATTTAATTAAAGTATTATTAATTAATATTTTGATTCTTATATTTGTAACTATATTTTTCGGTATTTATTTAGCATATTATTTTACAACTATTTTTCGAATTAAAAAATTTATATTGTCATATATATTAATTTTTTTTTTTTTTTTTAAACAAGTGCATTATACCCCTTTGAAATAAAATCCGGGCTCCCCCTGATCCAAATTGTGATCGGTTGAAGTGGGGAACCTGTGATCCCCATCCCCAACAGAAATGCGGTATTCAAAATGCAATCTTTACTCCAAGACGCAGCAACTCCATAATCTTTCATTGACCACAGATCAAGTTGATGCTCGCGAGTTCTAAGTACACACAGGCAGTTCCCCAACACTCCCAATCTGGTAAAATCTCCCATACCCGGAGGCAGTGGAATTGAGTGGAATTGTTCGTCCTCAACATTAAATGAATAAATAAATTGAGAACCAGTCACAAGCCAATGGATAGCCCCGTTCAAAGTAACCCCAACCTCACATTCCGATTTCATGAGTGAGAACGGTGCATCTCTTAGAATTCTCCATATACCAGATGCAAGACTAAAAACCTCAACCAATTTACATACAATTACTGTTGGGAAACGTGCTAGTTTTAAAAACTTTTCGAGGGATTTAAATTCATAGATCTTGATTCATCACATAGAGACAAGTTTTATGCAAAAAATAAAATAAAATAAAATATGATGTATTGTTCAACTAAAAGATTGAATACTTACATCAAGGTTTGAGTAAACCTCAGATCTCTCCTCTAAAGTGAATGTTCTCACTTATTGTAGATCCCTTTTGCTAGACATCTTTTCCATGGATCTCCATCTTCTTGGTAATGGTCTTGCCTTTAGGAATCACTCATAAACCTCCTTGAATGACCTTGGAAAACTAGGCTTGTGGGAGCCTCCATTAGATGAGAACATAAACCCTAATTTTCTAGAGAGAGAAAATTTATTCCTTTTTCCTTCTCATAAAAATCACACCCTAAAATATACATAGACCATGTATATTTATAGGCAACATAAAAATAAAGAAAAGGAAACAACAAATCCTTCTCCATCTCTAATTCATATGTCTCAAATCTAATATGATTCCAATATCAAGTTGGGCTATGAGTGAGAATCCATTGGGCCTATTATTTTATTGGCTACAATGAATTAATAATTGGCCCGGTCCATGGTCCCAATTCAATTAATTCATAAATTAATTTCTACTCCACTAAAAGAAATTAATTGAACTCCAATTAAATAATAAATAACCTCTAAGTCAATATTGCACTTTGACCCCTCTATGCATAATTAGTTATC